TCAGGGTTGTCCTCCAATTCCGGATCAAACTCCGGTTCCAGCGGTTCAGCTTCATCAGGGCGCAATGGAAACGATGCAGCATCCGGCGGAGGTTGCCCTCCGCTTGAAGATGAAGGCACTTCAACGCCCCCGATCTTCTGATCGGATGCAGCAAGAGCAACAGGCATAGCTGATTCAGAAGCTATGACCTCGCACTGATCGTCAACATAAGGAACTCGCCCATCGAGCTTCAATATTACCGCTTTCCCGTCAGGTCGAACAAAGTACGGAGCACTGTTCTTTCTCCATACGAAATCGTACCCCTTTTCCAAACATCTTTGACCAACAGAAAGTACAGCTGGTGTGCTCGGCAAAACATACGGAGTGACGACCTCGTTCAACTGATCAATGGAGAAGTCCGCAATCTTGTCTGCACAAATTGATCCATTTGCTGTTGAAAGATTGATTGGAGTCAATGCAGGATTTATCTTCTTTTGAAGTGTAACTGCACGCTCAGAGTCGACCAGATCTTGTTCACTACCTGTGTCGACAATCCACTGACGAAGCCCTGCTGGTGCTGGCGTAGCAATATACTCCGGCACATCGTCAAGGTTCTTTTCATCATCATCAATCCAACAGCCAGGACAATACAAACCGCAATAAATTGGGTCATTGTCATCATAGTATTCGCAATAGAACCCACAAGGCGCGTTGTAGTTTGCATGCATCAAGTCAACAACCCCTTCCAGAATCAAAGCTTTGTCTTTAGCATCGCTCAGATCCTTGGGATTTGAGCCAGGCGCACAACCATCATACCACACAACCTCAGGGTCATTCGGCTTTGGAGCACATGATAGGCATAGCCCATTGGCCTCGATCTCGACGATCTCGACATTGTCTGCGAATTTGACGCATCTGCGGGTATTGGAAACATCTGTACTGCAAATGAAAATTGTTTGCCCAGTCCAGTATTGCTCCAAACCTTCATCAGGATCCGCCCAGAAATCACCAAACACTTGCTCTTTGCCATTGATGTTGGCTTTGGTGATGCGCTGATCCAATAAACGTTCCAGCGAAATCGGAAGGTCTTTTGCACTCTTCGGATCATAAAGCGCTTTTCGAGGCATCACATGGTGTCGAATATCATCTCGTTCACCGAGTCAACTTCCCAGAAATCTTGCTTTGGGCGGCATGCTGCGAGGCATGCATTGGTCTCTTTCACCCTCAGACACACAGCGGCTGAGGACTCGCCCTTTTTGCTCTGGGATCGCTTCCTCCCTTTTCCCTTTGGGGTGGGAGACCTACCTCTGCTGGCTCCTTTCTTTGGGCTCGGCTTATCTGTCGCTGGTGCAGCAGACCGAGTCTCATGCGAAAACGCACAGTTGTCTCCACGAGTGCATTTCCCCTGACCGCCTTTGAAAAACCTGCAGGGAATCTTCTTCAGCTCCGCTCTCTTTCTCGATGCCGACCGATCCCTGTCTCTCGCTTGGCTGTCAGAGCGCCCCCGACCTTTTCCTTTCGGATTTTGGCTCGGGGGTCTTGGGTCTTTCTCACGCTTGTAAATGCAATTATCCCGAGTGCACTTGCCTTTCTGAAAATCATAGCAATACCTGACCGCTGACGGATCTCTTGCACGCCCAGGATTTGCATTGGGAGCTGGAGCACCGACCTTCTGATTGTGAGCTCGAGCAACACGATCACGATTTGACTGCAATCGCTCCCGAGTCAAAACATCACGAACGGCTTGAACAAGAAACTCGTAGCTCTTGTCATACGACCCATCTTTTGCACGCTCGTATGTATCGAGGTCATACTTGATCTTGTGACATCCACGAATCTGTCGCAAGAAAATGTCCTTCAAGACGTGCTGCTCCGGAACGATCTTCATGCCAGCAATGACGGAATCCCAATTCTGAATAAAGGTCATCAAATCATTGCCATGAAGCACCACCTTTAACAAATCTTCAGTGGAATACAACGCTCCGGCCTCCTCATTTGTTCTGAAATACTGCTCGAACATGAGAAGAACTTGACGCCCACGGACAACTTTATCCAAAGCAGCTTGTTGCTCCTTGTAGGTGAGGATCTGCCGACTAAGGTCGCCCCTAGCAATCCGCGACAAGGCCGCAAGAAGCTTTGTATCCAACGTTTCAAACTGCTCTGGATCTCCTAGCTCTAACATGAGATTCTTCTTATCCTCCCGGTTGACGTACACCTTGTTAACCCAGGTGAATGCAGCATCAGGCCGATCTGAAGCAGCCCGAATTTCTTCGCGAGTAGCCGTTTTCCAGGCTCTATAGGTCTCAGGAGTGGGAAACTCACTCAGCCTCAACGAATCAGCTTCCTTTGCTTTTGGCCGATCATGCTGATTCCGGACGAAGCCGAGGAGGGCCGCACGGAACTCCGCCTCGGTGGTCTCGGGACCAGTCAACCGATCAATGTTCGGCTGATTTGTCGACTGATTTTGCTGACTTCGGCTGTTCTCTTGCTCCGAAGACCGTCTCGCATGATCTTTGATATCAAACTGCATTGCACCAGAAATAGGATCAGTCCAACTCTGCTGTGGAATAATCTGTGGCATAGTCCCAGAAGTTTGTGCATTCTGCGTTGGAAAAAGACGCGGATCATCAAAGATACTGCCCCTCTTATCCAAAAACGACTCCGAACTGACGTTCTGTACACTTGACGCAGGCTGAGGATCTCCGCGCACCATTTCACGCTGCGCCTTTTCGAGATCGTTCCTCAGACGCTCAACGGTGTCGTTCAGCCCGTTGATCGTGTCCTGCATGGCGTGATTCTCCGCCAAAATACTGTCTCTCTGCTCACCGACCGCCTTCTCCGAGTTCTCCATCACAACAGTCTCAGCATGTAAGCTTTGTGCGAAAGCGCTATACTGTGCCGTTCTTTGCGACACAGCTTCGTTCACTTCGGCAGAAATTGCTCCCCGCATCTGGCCAACCTGGGCGTTGAAGAAAGCGCGAGCCTCTGCGAACTGCTCGTGCAGCTCAAGGGTCCGACGGTTGTTCTCCTCGTCCAGGCGATGCACAGTTTCCGCCAAATGAGCGCTATATTCCGCCCTTGTAGCATCCATAGCAACGCGATGTAACGTGTTGGCCTCTTCCCTAACAGCGTCACCCGTGTCGTTATGCACATGCATAATGTTCTGGGTGGCTTGGTAGTTTGTCGCGAACCCGAATACGTTTCGAGGATCGCGAGGGTCAACAGGACCTGTAGGTGCAACTGCACCATCACCACCGTCACCAACTTCTCCAGATATATTGTATATAATGGGCAAATCTCCGGATGCCATGGCGATCTTTGTACAAGCCTTTACGGCTGATAACCTGTGTTATCAAGCCTAGGCCACCTAAGGTAATACCTAGGCAAGCAGCAAACCGTTGACTACTTTTCACACTGCTGATAGTGCTCTTGAAGTCTGTAGCGGCGGAGCATGTACAAGGTACACTCATGCACAGGGTTGGAACCTGAATCCACATCAACCTGGGTACCTGAGTCATGGACGTGTCTGCTCATGAGGAAACCATTGCTTGCATCTACCTCCGAGGGCTTTGAGAAAGCTGAAGGCACCCTCCTTTCGCTGCATGTCTCGACGCCGTGCTTCGATTTACGGCCAATGCATGGGTTGGATGGCCAACGCCTTGTGAGACCAACGTTGAGCATCCCTATTGCGACCATTTTCTCTTTGAAGGGGATTCAAGGGTATCATAATGTTGCACATGTGTTCGTATGCCTTTCCCAACAGCTGGAAGCTATGGAGTCTCTGCCCAGATTCAGATAGGCTCTGGGGCTCTGGGGTGGTTTGGAGCAGCGTTCAAGAAAAGTTCCAGAGGCATGGCTCCCGGCGATTCTTTCAACCCTGGTTTCACTTGAGTGCAGAACATCCTCTACCAACAAACCACTTTCGTGGATCCTTTCGCGATGCTTTCGCGGCCACACGTTTCACTTTCGCGGACATGTGTCTTGGCATGATCACTTTCGCAGAGCTTTCGCGGGCAAGACAGAAACTGCGAACATGCACTTTCGCGACGCGTTGGCGGCGGGCTCTTCTTCAACCACTTTTGCCGCAAGCTTTCGCGGCGCCTTAGCTTTCGAGAGGCTTCGTTAGGAGAGGCCCTCAATTCACTCCTTTCATAAGGTTTTTTTGGCGCTGCCCACTTGCTAGTTTCATGCACGGCGAGCACAACCAACAGAGTCCTGAACGGAGTAGTTCATGTTGCCTAAAACATAAACAAGAGAGCAATCCAGAGAATGAGAGAGGGAGAGAGAGAGAGCGAGAGAGAGAGAGAGAAAGGAGAAAAACAGAGGAAGAGATAAAGTGAGCAAAAGGGAAGAACGAGAAAGCAAGAAAAAAGAAAGAAAAAAGGGACATAAAGAAAGAACAAAGGAAAGAAAGAAAGAAAGAAAGAAAGAAAGAAAGAAAGAAAGAAAGAAAGAAAGAAAGAAAGAAAGACACATGGAGACAAAGTGAAAAGGATAACAATAAAAACAAAAAAAAACAACAAGGGATACATATAGAAAGGAACGAGAAACATCAAGAGCAAGAAAGAGAGACAGAGAAAGACAGAGAGTGAACGAGGGAGCGAGAGAGCGCGACAGGGCTGAGAAACGAAAGAGAGAGAGGGATAAGAAAAAAGGAGACATCCAGAAAGCGAGAGAAAGGGACATGAAGGGAGACACGGGATAAAGAGAGAGAGAGAGATAAACAAGAAAATAGAGATATCAAGAAAAGCCAAAATGAAAGGGACAAAAAGACAAATAACTAAAGGGAACATACAGAGACAAACAGAGAGGTGAGAGAGCGAGACAGAGAGAGAAAAGACAGTGAGAAAGATATTGATAAAGATATTGAGAAAGATTGAGAAAGAGTGAGACACACCTACCTTCCACTCTGTTTAGACCTGGGTCGGTGCTCTTTGTACCCGGTCAACCAAAGGACAACCATCACTTTGTGGGTCCCAACAGTTTGATACCAATGTGCCCCTCGGTCTCTTTGTGCCCGCCTCGTGCCAAGGCTGGCCCGCGGGCCGACGCAGGCAGAGTCTTCTCTGCAGCTGCGCAAGTCCGCCCGACCTCATATGGGAAAACAGGGCACCCGTTGTTTGGTTACAGGGTGAAAGTAGGCAGAAATTCCCTGTATGCGGAGATGACTAAACATGGGGAAATTGTGCCATCTACCGGGAATTCCCAACTACTAGAGGTTGAAAAATCAAGCAACCCACTGGACATTCCGGGAAATCGCGTCTGATCTAAGATGGTGCGCCCTGGCATCACATGGCTCAGCAATAGGCATCCCAGCATCCCCATAAGTTTAACACCCGGATTCATCAACGCATGGTTGAATTTTCACGGAGTGGATCACTTCGGGTTGGTCCGACTGACCGCTTGCAAAGAAGTAAGTCCCCGTTTGCTGCGTTGCTGGTTTAAAACAGTCATTTTCCCACTTTGCAATCAATGCATATGTGGGCTTGCCGAATTGTATGAAGAAAGGCCAGCCACGTGCGGCATGAGTCAATTTAGGTCTTTGAAGGAATTGATTTGCTTTCAAGGTCAGAAACCCTTGCAGGACTGACGATATAGCAGGGATGCCGGGGCAGGGGTGGGGGAGAAGGGATGCAAGGGGAGCTCCTAATGGTATTGGTTCTGGGAGAAACCGCCCACATCCCGATACGCTCCCAAATACATGACTGCTCGTCGGTTCCTCTGACAGCGTCAACAAGTAAGATGGTGATCGGCATGCCTCTGGAGCCTACAAAATACAAGTCACAACAAAAACATGGCGACTCTATGGAGTCTACCCCCAAGCAATGAAAGACCATTCAGTTGAAGCCTTATGGTTAGATCCTACCCTCCAACCACCCAAGTCTTGGTGTTGGCACAAAGGCAGCCGCGAGATCCCCAATTCCGTGTTTTAATCTTCCCCACAAATGGGAAAACTAAAAGTGTCGGGAAGAAAAGGTAGCGTTCACTCGGTCCCTCACCCAATTCCCATTTTCGATGAACCACCTACTCAATCTGAGCTATTGACCTGCTTCAGAACAGCTAAATGCAAAAGATCCAACCAAATAATTTGCAATGCTTCTGGAACCAGCGGTTGGCAGGGATCCTTAATTTTGGCATAGTTCCGTATGCGCCATGTGCAAAACTCCTTGTGGAAAGTATGATCATAGTGATGGTGTCTCTAAGACCAGTCCTGGCTATGAATGAGAGACCCACTCCAGGAGTCCAGGCTGCGTTGACACATCTGCAAAGCTTGTGGCAACGAGGCCTGCTGCCCTTGCGAATCAAATTCGGCCATCTCTTCCAAGGCGCCGAAACCCGCAAAGCCGTCGGCTTTCATCCCGTGTGAGTTAGCCAAAGTAAAAAAGGTTTGCTTCTCGCTACAAGGCGGGCGGCTTTTTCATTTCAGCCGAACATGTAACAACATCAACTACTGCTGGTTCAACTGGGAGGTTCCCCTTCTTACGTCGGTTGATGTCTTCCGAGCAAGGGAGGCCCACCAAACAGGGAACAAATGAGGAAGGGCAACCTCCCCAACGCCTGCCAAAAGCATGACAGTGCCATCCAATCTATCCCAGGGAGTCATTCAACCCCAAACTGATGTGTCCTCGGTTCCCAACCAAAAATAACATCAAAAGGATTCAACACCAATATGCGACAATGGCAAACACCCATTCTTATTCGGTGCCTGTGGTTCTCTTGCAAAATATCCCATTAGCACGACTGAGTTCCTGTTCAAACGCCCTGGGGCAGCGGCACCGTAGCCTTCGCGGTGACGGCGGCCTCGCGAGAAGGGCCCGCTCATGGCTGTGTTCAAGGCTGGTCCGGTATTTTGGAGGCATTTTGGAGGCATGGAGGGTATTGATGTATATATCACTCTCTGAGGGGTACACAGGTACACAGGTACATAGATACATAGATACATAGGTACATACTGCCTTACACGCTTATATTGGTGGTATAGGAGCATCCATACCTCCAAATGAAGAGTGAATGTGAAGCCAAGCAATTTTGCGATCTGCTGAAATGGAAACTCGTTGTAGAGTTGAAAGCTTCCGTGTCTTCGTTTAAGCGAGCGAATTGTATACCTAGTGAGTCACTAGTGAGCGTCTGTATTATTGAAAGTTTACTTTTGACATGTATTCAGGGTGTTTGGCTAAACAAGATATACTTCTCCGATTGGTAAATAACACGCACTGTTGACATCACTGGTCGCTTCACACAAAAAACATAGAGCTGAGCATACCCTCTACACCATTGCAACTAAAGTCAGTAGTCACCTATCAAGGTGTTGTGTATAAACAGTCTAATATCACAATAATCATCTTTTTCTCATGGCTGTTTTAGTACATGTTGCATACGGTTTATTCATTGTTACCAAATCTCATTGTTCAGTAGCATCATCGTAACAACACATGACTCCCGCATTGCTATGTTTTGACATTGTAGAATCAACAATACGTCCTCTCACGTCTATATGTGTCACCAGGGATTCCTTAAAAGTCGTAAGTAGCACAAGTCAGCAGGAAAAGAGCTTACTTCAACGAATATTAAATCGGATCATGATACTTCAAAATGTTGGAGATTGAAGTAAAGCTTAGGCTAACGTTCTGAACAGTGCTTGGGTTGATTCTGGGCGCTGCAAAATAGCCTCTTTCATGAACGGGTCTCAAGTGCGTTGGTTTTTGGATAGTTTAGGGCTTCTCTTTCTTGCAGTTTTGGCTTGATGTCGGAGTTGGGCTTCGGGTTCGGGGTTTGGGTTTGGGTTGAGTTGTAGTCAAAAGGATCCTTAGGGTTCCGCCTAGTTTGAACCACGTGGTCTGAAATCCAGGGTGGAACACCTGTCTCAAGTCCCTGCAATTTCTGCGAGCAAGGGCCTGCCTTCTAAAGCTCAAAGTCGATGCGTTTCTCTCCAACCACCCAAAATTTTCTCGGCTTTTCTTGGTAGAGGGAAATCAAAGGGAAAATCACCCAACACCGGAGATCTAACCATCAGAAAGACGAACCCAAATAGACTTTAGCTTGGGTACAGAAACTCGTTGAGCGTGCTGTATTTGCCTCAAAAGCGGGTCCAGCGGTAGCCCATGGGGATTCGATCTGCCGCATGTCAAAACTAGGGAACCACGTGGGGGAGAGCATTTCAAGGAACCAACACGAAATGGATGATCCAGATGTGTCCCCCAGTTTTGACGTCTCCATGTGGTGTTCTCCAAAATCGGAGGTCCTTGTCGAGGAAATCCCAAGACCCCTTGTTGAAACTTGAGCTGTTCAAAAGGAGAAGTCCGTAGGCCGGAAGAAAGGAACGGCCCAACCTTTGCCTGGATTGGACATGGACCACCCCACACACACACATTGCCCCTGTCAGTTTTTGCCGGTGTTTGCAACAAGGGTCAGTATCAAGAGCAATTAATAAGACTTATGGGGAAGTCAAATTACAGAGAAACAACTGCAAACAAGCGCAAAATGAGCAAAATTATTCTTGATAAACTTAGTTTGTATAATACAATAAACCTAGTAATATATATATATATAGGTATATATATGTATTATACAAACACATATGTGTTGCTTCTGCAAGTACACATAAATATATTACAGTCACTTCTGTAACCGCTACTTTGCCAACCCTTGGACACTTTTTGCCATATGGGATGCTGCTAAGCCACCTTTGCAACCAAGCCAACTCTGTTTTTACAAGGGGAGCCTGAGAACCCTGGGTTTTGGTTGCTTGAGTGCCGGGACAAACATGTGAACATATGTTACATGCAGTGCTCGATTCCCGAAAAGACACAAGCAACAAAAGGCTCTGCAAGAACAACAAATCCTGAAACACAAATTCAGCTCCTCACCCCCCCCCCAATTGGTTTGGAGCCCGGTGGTTCGGTTGAGGGCGGGCTCCCATTTGCCCGATCGGCTTCAAAAATCCCCAAACCGGGCTCCAATTTCCCGGCCTGCAGCTCGGCGAGGGCCCGCTGGCTAGCGTTCTCCAGGAACTCCGCGAAGGGTCTCCTACATCGCACTGAAGGAAAAACAAAAAAATGCAAACTCCCCAAACCAAAAAGAAGAAAAGCGAAAACCTGGGATCGCTGCGTCTGTGAGAGTGCTTTCTTTCTCTTGTTTTTGCATGGAGGGGGGAAGGAGTCGCAGGTCTGCGTGCGTGCGTGCATGCGTGTCTGTCGGTCTGTGCGTCTCTGTGTCTCCATCTCTCTCTCTCTCTCTAGAATCAGTTTTGCAAACCACACAGCTCCGACTATGTTTCCATCCCTGTTCCAGGCCCTCAACGTGTTCAGCCCCCCCTCCATAATTACATCATTCCCTCGTACATTGGCCAAATGCCCTTGGACGTCATCCAAGCCACAGGTGTTCGGGAACCAACGCGTGCCATCCCAGAGCTTTGATATAAAGCGCCTTTCCTGGTCCAATACGCTTAACGTGCAGCGATTACCCTGGTTCAAAAACAGAGACAACTCGACGGGGTTTCCAGCTCCCAAACACGCGAAAACGGACTTCACGTGGAATCGTCAGGATCTACTTCTTGGAACATATCTTGAACACAACTTGTGATTGGAGTTCTCGCACATAATTGTCTTGATCATTCAATGCTGGGTGAGCATAATAAATAGAGAAGGGATAGAGAGATAACTTTTCTCTCACTATCCACTTCTCTATCTCGGGATAGTGACCAGAGGTGCCGGAAGAAAAGGCGGGAAAGGAAATGGCTCACAAATGAACTGACATGAAGGTGTCAGAATCTCTCCCCAGATGGGAATCAACATGCTGGAAACTGAGGTTGGGTGAATCTCAAGTAATACTGTGGATGGACAAAATCCTGCACCACCTAAGAAACCCCGGAACGAGGAATCCCCATTAAATACCAATAAACTGGTTTCCAAGTGGTGCAGGATGTTGTCCATCTACAGCATGACGAGGGTATTTCCTTTATCACAGAGACTCACAATTGAGTGGCACTGGGAAGGCATTCTCAAAAAAACAACAACTTGCGATATCTCCCGTCGATTTCTGGCATTATGTGTTACAATTATAATGCCACCGAAGGCATCGTAAATTCCAAGAGTACGAACAAAGACTGTATGAAAGTGGAAACAATAGAGTGGGGGATTGACTGGCGGGTGAATCTTCTTCCTTCTATCTCTATCTCTTCTCATTGGATGGGACAAGCCCGCAAGCACAAAAAAGTGGAGTCACTCCCCGAAATGTCAACCCTCTGCAATAGCCAGCAAACTCTTCAGATCTGTGCCTGTCCATTCGCGATCGATCATGCAACGGGCCCATTGTGAAAAGGACACCATTGTGAAACCAAGCAATCTGACCTGACCCAAAGAAACCATGGCAAGATCACCTGCGAAGGGATGGCCGTCAAACCTGGCATGATGTTGACGGATTCTGGACCGGACGCCGTACTAATCAGCGGCTCCTGTTTTGGCAGGGAAACAGTCTATTGTAGGGAGTTCCCGGACCAGGGTGGCTGCTTTCGCTTGGATCTCCCCGCCATCGGGGCTCTAGGCGACCAAGAAAGCGGAATTCCCAAGGTGGCAGGGGGAACTCCGACGCACTTGTGTTCCTGGCCTTTTTGGGGCAAGCACCACGTCAAACTAAGGGGACGCTCCAACGGGGTTGGTTTCTTTTTGTCCATCTTAACTCACCTGAAAAGGGCCCCCTCAAAGACCCGAATGGAACCCAAGAAGCTCCCGGTGATACTCACGCCTGAGGGCTGATTCATAAGGGCAGCCGAAGACCTCCTCCGCTTTCTTGTTCCAGCGGGTGATCAGGCCATATCTGTCCACAGCCTGAGTGATGCTGGAGCGTACTCTGCATAAGAAGCTTCAGATAACATAACGCAACAGGGAAACATGAATAACTAATCCAACCCATCTTCATCAATGGAAGGATCTTGGAGTGTTGTTCCCTTCTCTTTGGAAGCTTCAGCCAAAGACCTGGGAAATATGATGCTTCCACACGCGTCACTATATAACAAAGCAACCCAAGGCTTCCCACCTACCTGGCACCCCTCTTTTCCACCTACCGCAACACCTCACCATAGACCCCTGCAACTTGCTTTTGTCGTGGGTCTCTTCTGCCCGAACAAAGAAGAACAACTGCTAAACGTCTGAAGGTTCAGTGTAGTTGGCCCCAGTTAGCTAGCCACGCTAGCCACGTTGCTGGTGAGTGTGCCTCGTCAGGAAGCCGAGAGAAGCGGAAGGGCCTTCTTGGGAGGAGTTGTTTTCTTGGGGCCTTGGTAGGACACTAAAATCACAGCAAAGCGACAGCCTCCATCTGCACGCAGCCTTTGGCATGTTCAAAAAAACCGCACGACATGCTGAGTGGTGCTGGGGGTTGGGGCAAGTGTGTGAAACCGCTAGCCTTTTTTTTATGAAACATCAGCATCAGGCTTATACATCACCTTCTTTTGCTTCTGGAGTAATTTTAGTATGGAAGCGTACAAAAACCACTGCCTAAAAGTCTTATTTGGGGCACCCCCAAAATGGCTTCGGTTCTCCTCTGGCTTCCCTTTGACACCGCCAAACAAATCGCACCATCAAAACCCAAACAACACCCAAAACACATTCCAAGCCACCTAAAACGCAGTACCCAAAACAAAAAAGGGCTGCCACACACCAAAATTGTACCCAAAGTTGTACCCCCCCAAACAACTGTAGCCATTTTTTGTTTTGCCACACACCGCAAAGGGGTACCCAAACCACCCGCCGATCCCCTCCGGTCGGGGCTTCGCGCCACGATGGGCGCATTGGCTCCATCCACCGAGCGCCGGAGGCACGCGAAGGCCTCCGAATCCCAGGGAAGTCGAGAGACGCCTTGGGCTCCCCTCGGAAAGGGCTCCCCGTATTCTAATATGGATGTGGCTCAAAAAACCGGAATTCCAAAATGGAACCCTGGCAAGTGGAAACATGGACCAAAATCTGCGTAACCCCTCCTGTTTTATTTTGAGCCACACCCATATATCTAAACACATATAAAGATTAAGATAATTTATGGGGTTTAAGAATCCTCAATGTCCCAAAACAGAGTGTTTGAGAGGATTCTTAAACATAATCTGTCAGGGGGTCGAAGGCGACCGACATGCTTCTTGGATTGCCATGGTTTTAGATCAAACTGGAAACAACTACAAATTACCTTAATACATCATGAGCTAGCTTCGTTTCCATCGCATCCCGGTCATTCTGCTTGAATTAGATGACCGTTTCACTGAAGAAGGGCGAAGCTTTCTTGGGTTTCCTGAAGCACAAACCGGTGTTGCTTTAGATCAACCACTATATTTCGCAGCCATGCCGACTGACAGGCTTCAAGTGCCAAATCACCTGACCGCACCACAGGTGGTTTAACCCGCATGTTTGGCTCAAGATGAGAGAACTTCACTTTGGTATGAAACGACTGTTGTGCGTTCTGTGGAACTTGGGCTAACAATCCACTGACTTGAGCATGAAACTGACAACAATGGGCGGTGCTACAAACAGCTTGTCAGTTTGTGGACAGGTGTTGTCAACTTGGGCCAAAGAGATTCTAGGCCAGTCGCTCTCAAAGAATCAAGGAATGGGTCCGTTCGTGTGACACAAAACTAACATAATTCACACCACCTTACAACAGCTTTGGACATCGCAACATGTCGCAACATATTGGCATTGAACAATGGCTTCGGAGGGCGGGTCAAAGTACTCTCTTAGACAGCACTTGGACCATTCGGGTTCTTTTCTCGGGTGCAAAGGAAACCAAGCGAAACATGGAAGGGGGAATAATCATGATAAGCAAAGGCGGAGTGCTATAATTGGCTTTGCTTCACTTTGCATAAATATTCAAAGAGAACATGTGCGGCGTAAGGTCCCTTGTTGGGGCCCCTTCCACAGCAATATTATCTCTTGGGGTGGGGGATCCCGCAAAATCCCGTCGGCCTCCGCCTGCTCTCTCTGGTATTTCTCAGCATCTGCCAGCGCCTGGATTGGTTCAGGTTCAGTCAAACGCATGTTGCTTGCCCTAGTGGCTTTTGGCAAGGAGCTCGCAAGCAGTGGCCGCGCCAGCGCAAACTGTAAGATACAGACTGCAAGAAGTGCTACCAGAACAACCAATCCAACCCAAGTTGAAGCCGACAACATCGACCGGCGGAGTCGCAGCTAGCCGGAACAAAACGACCAAGAGGCACAGCACCAAACTGCTTTGGCAGAAGGTACCCGGAACGCTCCGCGCAATCTTCTGGGATCGACAGCCACGTCCCGTCAAGCGAGTTTCAATTGCTGTTCTATTTGATGGCGCGAAGGTGCAGTCTTACTATATAGTTGAAATGCGTCCAGAACCATGTCTTGACTTTTCTGGCACAGCATCTGTGCATCACCCGTGGGCGCAACCGAACGTGCTAATGAACAAACACTAATCAGCCATGGGTTGATTGATCTTGGGTTCCCTTGGTTAGAACGATGTCCTGATTCTCATTGGGGGGGTGGTATCAAACCGCAGCTTCCAACCACCCATCGGCAGTCGCCCAGCTTCCCTCGAAAAGAGTGGTTCGGGGCCCGGTGGTGAGTTTGGGGTCTGGTGGTGAGTTCCGGGATATACAAGAACCAGGGTTCAAATCCCCACCAATCCAAACCACCGATTGAGGGCTACACTGACAAAATATTTTGGCCAAGCCATAACAAGGCTCCTGACACCTGAGCGGGGAGAAGTAATTTGTGTCATACACACTCTAGGAGAAACGGGAGCGCTACGCAATCATTATCGGACACTGAAGAATCTAGTAGTTCCCGCTCGAAGGTACTTAAATCGAACAATAAAAAAGACTTGACGTATTCAGCACTCCGTCTTTGGTAAGGTGGCTCTGGTTTGTTCAAATGGAACCGGCACCTCGCTGCCTTGTTGTGGCGAAAGCTGCACTGACTCCAATCCGGCAGGCTCCGATTCAAGCCCAGCGGTTCTATGGCCTTCTTGGTCTGCGCCAGCGCACGCCGAGAGTCGTTGAGAGCCCGCTGAGCGTCGGCAAGCTGGGCCTGCAAGTTATAGGTGATATGCGGGTGTGTCTTCTTTGGAGGTACCCCGTTTCTGGTGGTTTTACAGAAAAACCAAAGGACACCCACAATTTTGGGGTCTCCTAAAAAGACCCCCTAACTGGTGGTTTGGAGCCCGGTGGATGGCCGGAAGCAGCTGCTCGACCTGCTGGAGAAGCCGTTTGTTCTGCGTGTGCGGCGCCGTTCGCGAGCAGCAGCGCCGTGCAAATATCTACGCGAGAGAGAACCATTGATCCCGCTTGGCAACTCCAAGAAGCTCGACGGGCGCAGCCGAACGCACGAATAAGCCACCAAAACATGGGGGCCCAAAGAGGCAAACCAACGCCATGTGAGTCACATCACACCCTGGTATAAAGTGGGGCCCATACCAAAACAAAGCAAACAATTGAAAGGGCGGCCACGCACATTTACGCTTCGTACTGTCCCTTACCCGGGTTTTCAGGATCCTTGTTTCTTGGTGGCAAAGCGCCGGAAATGCACCCAGGGCTTCATGTTTGGTCGTATCGGTCTTAAGCCAGGAAGAGGCCCAACAACACGCCGACGTAACTGCGGAGTTGGGTGTAGGGTCAGCTGGGAAAGGGGAAGGGTGCCACTGAAGAACTGGGCCAGTGTCCTCCGGCCGTATTGGCATCTGGGATTGCGGAACGTGTTGACTATGGACCAAGCAGCTTGTTCTTGGGAGTGTTGTCACGGGCAGAATGGGACTTGCTAACGGCAACTGCTCGACTGGTCGCTCACCTCGCCAGAAGGTGGCTGTTGTAAATTGAGCTGCATAGCAACACAATTGAAGTTTGGATGTCCCCAGAAAGCCTTCTGGCCGCATGTCGTTGATTCCATCAACATTTCACGCCACGGTCAACATCGATTGCGCCCCAATGGCATACACTGCCACCGTATTGCCTGCCACAAATTCGACTCCCCAGCACACATGGTTCCTATATGGGCCGCCTTCTAAACGGCCGAACCTCGGCCAAAACGCGCTTGCAACCCTGGAGCCCTTCCTCATTCCACAAGATCTCAAGAGCCTGCAGACTCAAACTGCCAATTGGCAAAAACAACGTGCAACAAGGGGTTCCTTCACCGACCTGAGCTGATCGGCCAGCAACCACCGCGTGTTTGTTCGGGCGCTTACCAGATCTGCCGACTGAACAGCTCCTAGGTCCTCCAGTAGAGAAGTTAGAATAAGGGTACCCTTTTCTCTGTGGTCTATGGGGAACCCTCCCCCAAAAACGGCAAAAGGGCACTACTGGGGGACCTAGGCTACATTGTAACTGGGGTGCGTGGCTTGTCCATCCCCCCAACCTTTGGCTTCCCGTTGGTGGAAAACGGTAGCACGCTTTGAATGGCCAAGCGCTGGTTGGATCACACCCCGCCCGAATTCCAGCGAGCTCACAACGCCACGCCTGCAGATCCGCAGGCGCCACACAGCATGCCATGCCTGCGATCTTGAACAAGTGCTTCTCCCCTGGAAAAGGCAGAGGCATTGTTTGTTCTCCAATGTTTGAGGAATCTCACTTTTGTGGGTGCGCTTCCTCCCCCTTTTTTCTTTCTTTGGGGGCAAAGTCTTGTTGGCGAACCCGCTTCTTGAGTGGGTTGCTAGAATCCCGGGCTTTGGATATGAAGCTACATATGGGAGAGTCTGTTTTTGGGGGTGCCCTAATTTGTTGACAAATCCAGAATTTGCTGAAATAACCACCTGTTGGAGTCCATGAGAATAGGTGGGAGACTGACAATAACTCCCCAACCCGAAAATAACAGACCTCCAAAACAGGAACCTTCATTTTGGGTGTAGCAACCCTGACAAATGTTGTCCAACCCTGGTGATGATGCGGGGTCGGGGTGGCAATCATGAGGACCGAGTCCTGGTCATTGTTCAACCTCGAACCTAGAATGTATTCCACTCGTTCTAGCATCATGACAGTATTTGCTCAACCCCAAACTTGCTTTTAGGCTGCCATCCAAATCATTTCTGCCACAATTATATCTCTCATCTGGAGAATATGTGACGCGTATCAATGTGAACCAACTCATACGCATGACAACTGCGCTGCCATGATGATGCATCTCAGCCGGACCTTTTGCAGGGTTCACCCTGCTGACCCACAGTTGCAAGCGGCACTCATTGTTCACCCCCGTAATGGAACTAATTGAATGCGCTAACACTCCGGCTGACTGGTTCAGCCAGCCAACTCATGAAGTATCATTGCTCGGCCAACCAACTAACAATGAATTAGCCAACTAATGAACTGGTCAGCGATCCAGCAAACTGCTAGCCAGCTAAGCAACTAGCAAAGTGCGCTTTGTGGCGCCGGCAGTCAGCATTTGCTTTCAGTTCACAGGAAGTACGTCTCAAGCTATAGTTCTTCTCGTTGTTCACTCGAAGTAGCGAATAGAGACCTTTCGATCTGAGTAGGTCTGGCCCCCGAACAAACAAATCTTAGGTCTAGCCCCCGAACAAACAAATCTATATAACCATTCGCAGGCTCAATGGTCATGGTTTTGGCTTCCAACATATCGGGATTTATGTTCTCATCAACCCAACACCTTACAAATGCGGGGGGGTCTCAAAGTAGTGGTCACGTAAAGTCGATGGGTTGCATTGGGCCAACCAAAAGGGTGCATCATTTTGAGAAAGACTCATGTTCAGAGGTTGGAAGGATTTCTTTTACACCCCTTGCTCCAGATCGGGAAACTACCAAAATGCAGCTCCTGGAATCAATGGGCTGTTCCACGACCAAGCCATAAACCCCAAAGCCATGGTATGAAAGCAAGCCATGGAGAGTTTGACTTTCATCTACTGAGAACTCTCGAGACAAAATTAGACACCAGTCAGGGTAAGGTCCCTTTAAAGCAAAAAGGAAACACCTGAAGCAACGGAATGCACGCAACGGGAAAAAAAAAAAAAAAAAAACTAGGCCTGATGACCTGATGGCTCTGGGTAGTCCCGGCCATGGGGACATGACTGCCACTGTTGCTAGTTCACAACAACCCTTCAGGGGGAGAGCCACTTGGGCCTCAAACGTGGCCGCTGGCTTGAGGGTGGACGCTGGATACTATTAAAAAGTCCCGGACACGACATCTCCAGAACCGCCACTTAGACTTGTTCCCAGCTCCCCAAGGGTTCAGGAACGCTTGGGTCAAGGTTTCATGGCAAATACCAAGGCACGCGTGACATGTCACACGCACCTCCCCGTGTTTCTCGGGAAGCCTTGAGGTCACGTCAAGGTGCCTTTCTCAGCTCATGGAGACAAGCTTGGCGACGATTCGTGGCCCATGTCTGCGCCGAGTCGCCTCAAACCGGCAACGGATCGTCCCGCGCCTCGTCCCTCTGGCCAATGGCCACAAAGGACGTGGCGCCCTTCGGACGTGCCCGGCCCGGAGGCGGAGTCTTGGATGTGACCCAAATGAATCCTTCACTAATTAATAAACAAACAAAAGCCATGTTCAATCGAACCAAAGCCACCTCTCTCCAATCAACTCAATATCGTCACCTGTGGAAAAAAATAGAAAGAGGCGCGCGCAACTTGACCGATGGCTGAAGGCTTCAGCTGGGAACTGCGTCTTTTCTTGAGCCAAGACCAAGAACCACCGACGAATGCTGCGTGAAGGCCACATCAAAAGTCCAATAGCCATGTTCATACTTTTTCCTGAATCAACATTCTGGCAATGGTTGTCCAAGGAATAGACACACAACCGATATCCAATGACCGTGGCAAAGAATGGTCAAGGAATTGGAATGCAGAGAATCGCAAGATCTGCCTGTCAGCTGCACACCCAGCAAACATTCATCTTGCTGGCCACCAAACGCTCAGACTTTCTTGCCTTAGCTGAACTGATGCAAAACCATCCCCGCAAATAACCGTCAGCTTTCGCCAAAGCGAAACAAACATCTTCGCCCTTTTTTCCTTCGCCGTCTGTACGCAGGCGAAGCATATGGCACCATGGCTTCGGTGTGCGCTGTGGCTTAAGGAAACTGAAGCTGATAGGGCGAACCTGTCTGTTGGATCCAATCAGTATCATCTTTCTAATCATGGAACTGGAATCTGAGGGATTTGGCAAATCCCTTGTCCACTTGCATGAGTGTTGGGTTAAGGGGAATTTATCTCGCTGACCTGAGTTGAGGAATCTTGAAATAAGGGACCTTCATCTTGGGTAGGCTCGTTTTCAAGGTGAGCTTGCAGATCCAATGGATGGTGTTTCAAGGGTCCAGGCACCCAAAGTCATGAAATAACTGCCGCCAAAGTAGCAAGCATGCGAAAGGTGAGACCAAGGTGTACGAACACCGGAAGCAGCCCCTGCACAAGTCGCTTTCTCGAACTCATTTTGTTCCAAGGCAAGCTGACGTATGTGGGGAACAATGTGAAGGGATTAGACTATCCGCGTGTCAACACTTTGAATGTGCCTCTAGCACACTTCCTCGCTGCAATGATCTTCCCCAAAGTATATAGAGCAGAAACTGGTTGGCTTTGAGAATTTCACCCTTTGAACGAGCTGGCAGCGAGCATTGACAGTCATCGGCCCTGCGCAATCACCACGTTGTAGCTGCACCCGGGCTGCATGGACAAACCTCAGAACTGAAGGCCCAGCAGGGCCAAAACAGGACGCCACCGCGAACCACGGAATCACATGCCAGAAGATTGCCGCCAGGATGAACACTGTCCACCGAGGATGAATCCCTGCATATCCGAATCCCAACCAAGAACCTAGCGACAGGATCAATTGAGCCAAGTGAAAGCGTACTTCTTCGGGCCACTTGGCTCCTCAGCATCACAGTGGCTGGATGTCTCTTGGGGTGGGATCCAATGGACGGCCCGACCTGGGCCATCAGCTTGCCAATCCTCCCGCAACAGGACTTTGAGTTTCCTCTTTGGGAAGACCCAACTTTGACACATCTCCCTGGTGCCTGGAGCGCGAGCTATGAATTGCGGGCCCATCTTTTAAACTCCCATGGGTGCTCTTGCCCCGTGGCTGCGGTAAAAGAGACACCCTTTATGTTGTCGATTCATTTGGAGAAAACCCACAAGGGCGGCGCCACTGGTTACCTGACCCTCGGCTACTTGTCCAAATAGGGCGATGGGCCCACCTGTTCCGCTTTCGAGGCTTTAGGTTCCGCGCTGGACAAGCTTGTGCCGAAGGCCGCCTGGCACGAAGAGAAGCAAATGCCAAAGGCCCAAACGAACTCTTGGTAGCCAACCTGGCAGAGATCGCGCAAAGCCATTCTGTCGTGCCGTTGTGTGTACCCGTCCGTGCGCCAGAAAGGTGAGTGGGGACTGCGCCCTTTGCCTTTGAGCCGCTGGTAAGAGGAGTGGTGGTTCTCATGAATGCCCAGCGCATTTTGCCCCTTGCCGGGTCAATATGCTCCCTGTCTGGATGGCTTCAAAAGGGGAACCAAAAAGAATCCACAAAGCTTCAGAGATCAACGTTTTTGCAAGCGCGGTCCTTTGCAAAACTGCCAAGCCTGACCAGCGCCACCCAAAGAGTTTGCTTCCAGCTATGCCAGCTGTTGGATGGGGTGGCTTACAGTGGTTCAGCTGCCTCCTTTCTTTTAGACACTTGCGTGGCTCATGGCTTCAGCCCATGACTTGACCGCGACGGACTACGACAAAGTCTGTGACTATGACCATGAGCGTGCTTTACCAAGACCACGGTCCCCGCGCAAAAATTGGTCGCAAACTGGCCCCCTGCGGTCGCGATTTGCGCAGAACACAACCTGCCCGAAGCGGGCCAATTCTCATTCATCAAAGTGATACGGCCACAATAAAAACCATTGACCTCCACACTCAAATGCAAGCAAACACGATGCCTTCAAAACCCACCAAAGGGCTGCATCCTTAAAATTACGAGAAGAAAAGACACATCCATGTTCACATAAATGGCCCCAGCCGCCTACAACACCCAGCCGCAGACCGCGCGCGGTCTGCGTCCGAGATGCATCCGCCTCGTCCACCTGCTTTGAGATCTGCGCTCCCGTGCCGCTGGTGGGGCCCGAAACCTGGGGCTCCATGCTTGCCGCCTTTCAGCTGCCCAACTGCCACGTAAAGGATTTTCCGGCTACTCTGATGCGGCTGTTGCCCCCTGAAGTTGATCTCAAACGGTCATACATAGGATCCAAAAGCCCTCAAACTCTCAGCAACAAACTCCAGCAAAATCTCAAGGAAGTGACTCAGCCCCATTGTTTTTGGAAGGGCTTTGTATTTCTTAAGCTTAGCTTCAAAAAAACACAGTAACTGAGGCCTTGTCAGGGTCTTCATCGCGAGTTCCAATAAAATGAAGCAGGCGCGTTTGTGCATTTTCTGCCACAAGGTTTTTGGAAGACACAGAAGACCAACCAAAAGTGGTCCCCTGGAAGCCGGGTCGGACCATGGTTTGAGACGCATGCCTACTTTACCATCTTGAAGTGCGATTTGTTTGGCCACTCACAAACGGCGTCAAGCCAGAACCTCCATGGCCTGTCAAGAGGAAACTCACTTAAAGTTCCACCATGTTTTCCCCTCAACACTTGGAATGGACCATCATGGACCCCTGATCGGAGCTTTCGATCTCAGAGCGGGGCAGTGATGGTGAAAGGCACCTCTTTCCTGCTGACCAGCTCGTAGGCCTCCAAGTGTGCAACGGACAACACTCACGTCACTTCCGGAGTGGCATCGGACGTGAGCCCCAAAATAGAGCATAGCATGATTCTAACTAACTAGCCTGAGAACTGACATGAGATACAACCAAAAATCCACGCATTCACAGCATGATTATCCTCTATCAATTTGGGCTGAGGGTGCCCCAAAACTCCAGTCTTAACCAAATTACAAAGGCGAGGGGTGCTGAGGGCAGAATGGGAAAGGTTGAGCGAGGATGCTGCACGCATACTGTTTGCAACAGTTTTTGTTGAAAGTATTAAAGCCCCTTCTGAAGACGAGGTAAAGCCCCTTCTGCATCAATACACGCTCCCAAACCCAAGGACAGTCAGAAATACTAGGTCGATCTTCAATCCCAAAGGTAGTAGAAAAGGACAACAAACAATGAAAGACGCTAATTATCGAAGCGTTGGCCCAAGCTGCAAAGGGCCGATTCAACGCCAGGCTAGCATCGCCGGCGCAATCAACGACAACAACGAAACACCATAGCCACAACGGTGCTGCAGAACACTTGTCTAGGATTGGGCATTGGCCCCAAACAAAAAGTTGGAGGGACCTTGACAGCAGCGGCCTTGGAGTAGATATCGAAGCCTGTCGCATTGGTCTCCAGGGTATGCGTCGCCTGCGATCAAAGGACGGCCAGGCCTGAGTTGGGGGAAGCCGTGGTAAGGCCTTAAACAGGTTTGGTTAGAGGAACCCCAGGATCGATCCCCGAAGACTGCCCCGTTGCGCGGTTTCAGCGTCCCTTCGCGCCTTCGCGCCGCCGGGAAGCTGAAAGTTCAGAGTGACCTGCGTGGCCTGCAGGATCTCAGTGCTTGCCGCCAAGTTGCCCTCCAGGCAACTAGCAATTGAAAAACGGTATTCAAACCATACCACGACTCCGTAAGCGTCTTAAGGTCTTTCCCATTGTGGGCATCGGTGGATGGAAGGTTATTCCCAGAACCCTCTGGGAGGGACAGACTCCAACTTCCATGGGAAACATTTGCATATACGGAACCTGCTAAAATCTGGTTGAGCCCGTGATTGGATCCCTGCAAAAAGAACACCTACATCGGTATGTTCTTCGATTGTGGACTGGGGATGTATATCCACCCACTACTTTGTGGAGGGCAGGTTGGGAACTCCTTCGAACAAGGAGGGGGGTAGTTGTGACCCAACTACTCTAAGGGCACTTCCCCACTACCCCATCAGGCCCCCCGTTGATTCTTTATGGACGCAACAATCCCCGAGCCTTTTGGAGGGTGGTCCTGCTTATAATTCCTTGCCACATAACAACTGGCGGTCCAACCGGATGCGACAGCTGAAGTGTGATGAGACCGTCACGCTCAAGGGTGTCAAATCAGGGGAAGAAGCGCTGCTGTTCCAAGCCTAGATGTCTCAGTCTCAGCGACACTTGAGAAAATGACGTTTGCTGAAAGGATACTTCTGAATCAAGGGCCCCCAAGAGGGAGGGCCAATGGAGAAAGCCCACAAAACAACTAGTCGGGTAGAACCTCTCAACTCCCTCGCCCCCTTTCGGGCAAAATAGATTTGAAAAGGTGGTTTTCAAGTAAAGTCCGTTGTAAACAGCAGAAATCATGCATTTTCGGAACGTCTCCTGGTGACGAAGTACTGGCCCAGTATTGCTTGGCATTGGTTTGGATTTTTCGGGCCATCCTTTCTCCTCACGTCAGGGAATGTGTGCTTGCCCCTTTTATTGCTTCTGTCAATCCTCTTGCCAAGCCCCACGCTGCCGGGGCCGGATCAAGACACCCGTTGTGTGGTTTCCCCCTCTTCCAATATCTCAGGGAACCCTTTCTCACTGGTGCTCAAAGGCCAAAGGCAAAACCAAAGGAGAACTCTCATCTTGCACAAGCCTTTGTGGGGTCCCAAGGAGAACATCACCCCTCCCATTTTGAATCTCTCTAAATTCCATGTTCGAAGGAGTGCGGACTAGGCAAGGATTCGGCTGCGAACCGATCCAACCGGGTGTGGCATTGCTGTTGCCGCCTTTGTTGGGACCAGCTTTGCGTGCAGAGGCCATCTCTTTGAGAGGGCAAAAATGCCTTTCTCCCCTGGTATCCCCTTTTCAAGCAGCCTCCCTTGTCAAACAGCGCCAAACATATCTCGTAAATCCAAAGAAGGCTTGCGCCTTTTGGAGCACCCGAAGCAACCCGACATGGCTTTGCAACTCAAAATACTGGGACCTGGACCTCCGAGAAGCTTTGGTTTCATTCCTAGGTTCTCCAGCAGAGCGGATAGAATAAGGGTACCTTTTTTTTCTGTAGTCTATTGTACTAGGGGAACCGAATCTCCAAAAAGAAATGGTAAAAGGGGACGACTGGGAGACCTGGATTCTCTGTTGGTTTCCTCCCCCCCCGAACACGGGTGGCCCAAAACGGGTCGCGCCTGGCCATCGGAGGCCGCAACGCGCAGCAGCTCCCCTCGTTCCCTGCGAGCCGCCTGCGGAGAAGCCGCAGCTGGGAGCCGGGGCTTTGGCCCCAAGTGCGTCCAGGTCTCAAGCAGACCCTCCCAGCATTGGAACCTGTTCGGACCAACACTTGCTCTCAATTTCGGGGGGGGGGGGGGGAATACCCACCCACCCTTTTTCATATGCAAACTAAAGTACTAAAGTTGGGGGGGTCCTGGTTTGGACCATATTCTTTTTAAAGGGACCGAGTCCCGAACGTCAGGTTCCTTGTTAATTAATTGGTAAAGCCATGTCGAGAACACAACATCTAAATGTTGTCCTTTTTACATTTTGTTGGCTGAACAGATCGGCATGCGCCCAAAAGGAACACATCACACTTGTTGCAACAAGGTTCTGCTGCTGCAAGAGGTTTCTTCATGTTTAGTCAGCAGTAGACTGAAGGTCATTGCCGGATGCAACAGAACCAGACTGCCTCATCTTGCTGCTTCTTGTGAAGCCACTGGTTGTGCTCCTCAAGCACCTCAGGCGACTTCAAGCGGCAAGAGAGCGGGTGCTTCCAGGATCAAGCTAAGGCCCTGGCAATTCCTCATGGGTATCACAAAAAAAGTGGCCACCCACACAGCCAGCAGCCCCCCAAGCCCTTAAGCCCTGGTAACACACTTGGGCGCAAGGCTTGCCGAGCCAGTCCGAAGATCCGCTGAGCTTCCTGGATACTGCCCAAAGACCCAGAAAGGAAAGGTCGTCATTGTGAGTCATGGCCAAAAATGGGCCAAAACCAAAAGGTTGAAGGGTCAGCTTTGGGCAAGCGAGTCAAACATATCCCGAGTTAGATCGGAGCAACTCATAATAGTTCAATGTCTGATGTGACATTTCACTGTTCTACAAACAAGCTTGGATCGTTTCAGACTCCCCCGAAACCAACAGGCCCGAAAAACAGCATATCCGAAATGGAATGCTTGCAAACCACGTGTCACTCAAGAGGCTGCATGAGCCTCTTTCACTGGAAGAGTAGTAGGTTGCGAGATGGTGAAAACTCTCTGAGGCGGCAGCGATCTAAAACAAAGTCTGTGATAAATCCACGGCATTTACAACCCGATGCTGTGCACAGTTTGCATAGGCCTATGATGTGAGTCATTTTTCCCACTGCCCGGGTTGAATCATACTTCAGCAACCCTCACAAAGGGCGCCATGTAAAGTGAAACTTCATCGTTTGCGAGGTGGCACACCACCGTTTAAACGCTTAACTCATCAAATTGCGAACAAGGTCAACACCGGATCAATCCGCAGAATTGTAATAAACAGGGGGTTCCAGTTACCAGGTGACCCTGGTAGCAAAAGGAAAGCCTTTGCCGGGTTGACCTTTTTTAGGGGAACACAAGCTGGGCAATTTTGGGGTTACCCCTTTTAGCGGGGAAATTCTGACAGTTTGCTGGAAACCACACGTACAGCCTACAACAATGGTGTGAGAGCTCCAAACTCGGAAGTAGACATCCCATGAACGGAGGGAGGGCTGGAACTGCGTAAATCCCGCGGAATCTATGTAGAAACCACCAAAGACCCCCCCCCAAAGGGGGAGAGTTGCCTTGAAGGTTTGGGTTGGGACCATTGACCATGCCGACGAAGCCATGAACAGACCCCTCACTCCTGGCTTCTAGTTGAATCTAAGAAAAAGGCGTCCCAGCTGCCCCCAACCAGGTTCGCCAGTCGCCCCCGCTTGCTTGAGACGACTTTTGACGCTTCGTTTGTCCAAATTGCGTTGTCCACTGTTGCTGGTCTGTACCCTAGTCTAACCCACAAAGGAACAACGGCCCACATGGAATTCCAGGATCACCCCCTCCCTGAAGTCCATCTTCCTGCAACAAATAATTACTTCGCCAAACTAAACTAACAAATCCATATGCAGGGAATCTTCATCCTGGATGAGCTCGTTTCACCGCACAAGTGTCCCACAAAGTAGTGGCACCTCTTCAGCTTGGGATGGCTTCCCCAGTCCTGCTTCGCCGACTGGGCGTCCAAGGGCGGCCTCACGAAACTGCAGTCTCAGCCCTGAATTGAAGCCATGTCACGGCCTGAGCCTAACATGAGCACTTTTAGGTTGTTTGAAGGCTTAGGCTTCCCCACATCCGTCAATGAAGCTAGGACTCACGGGCCGCCAATGCCAAGAGGGGCATCGTACAGGAAGCCCCTGTTCAAAAGGTTGAGCTGAGGAATGTGGAAGAGATGCACGTTTCTCACATTCTTCGTGGTGGTGATTGTGTTTGCACAAAGGAAAACACCATCTTCTAGATTTGCGGGGTAGGTTCCGGTATTGAAGTGCCGTGGAAACATAGTCGAGGCTTATCCGCCGGCATTCGGCGTTGCAGCTCCAAGAATACGTGAGAAAGAGTCTCACAGCGCAGCCGCGTGGCCCGACTGCCAATCAATCTTCTGGAGTGACGCTTGATGTGGTCAGGACTCAGCCGTGAACATCATTGAGAACTGAAAATCCATTTGCATGTGCAAAACAATCAGCATGGAGCAGCCTCGCATCAGACGCTATGCAAGCTATTCCGAATAGCAACTCTTCCCAGTATTTATTCAGCAGGCAAACTTTCTACAAGAGCCACGTCCTTCAATGCGCTTCTGTTGCCAGGGCTCATGTCCCCAAGCACCCTATGATGAGTGAGCTCGTTTTCTCCCCTGAGAGCGGATGCTTGGCTTGACTCTGCTTGGAAACCTCCGACTCCCGTTTGCTAATTTGCTCGTTCCATGATGGCCATGCCCTGCTCATGTGTTCGTCCCTGAATGCCAGCCAGTCGAGCAAGCTGCAGAGGGTTACATACTTCATCTCAAGCAACACCTCACCCAAAACCTCTTTTTGATTCAGGTGCTTTAGGAGAAAATGTTCTCTGAGGGATTTGCCAAACAAGGTCTAGACTTGCTTATCTTGGTCTCACAAAGTGCAAAGTGAAACTCGCGAACTGAGAAATGGGGGGGGGGTTTGAAGATTCGGGACCCTTTCAGGTGCTCATTGGTTTTCCTTTGTTTTCCCTCTAAAACCATCCAACAAGTCCCTTGTTTGTGGAAACCCTCAGACCACCTTGGGCAAAGTGAAGATGACTTCGCACCACATTTTGCCACTTGAGCCCGCAGCAAATCTGGTGCTGCGCCTGCCGGATAGCCGGACACAAACCCTTTTTCTTCGTAGGGTCTCAAGGGTGCTTGACAGGGTTCGCAAGAAGCTCAGAACCCATTTGTTCAAAAGAAGACTCAAAGCGTGGAGAGGTCTCAAAAAACAAATTCCCCTGGGAGGCTCTGACCTCAAAGAAGTCTGCAGAGGTCCAACAAAGCGCACACTAGCCAATTTGCAGGACTCTTGCGTCGGCAGGCGAAAGACTCCCAAAATTGCTTTTCTTTTGTTCATACCTCTACAGACTTTTGTATCGCCCTTGAAATTTAGAGAGTGGGGTTGGAACACCCGTTCTATGGCACAAAACTAGGAGTTTGCACAAAACATCTACAAAATGACGGGGTTGCAGAACAGATATGTACAAAAAATGGGCCCTTGAATTTTACAGTCTTTGTTTTGGTTGTAACAAAGTGGTCGCTACAAAATGGAGGGGCTTCAGGTAGGGATCTACATCATGGTGGCCACAACTGAAATCCAAGTGTCATTTTGTAGGGGGCGAGTTGCTCTCAATCCCACCAGTCTTGCAAACGCATTGGACACCCATGCTGTTAACAATTTACCAATAGTTACGAACAAATCCATGCAAACGCAAACAAATCCATAAGCAGCAGCCCCATGTTCTTGTCGCCCTTGTCTTTCTTGGCGCGCTTTTGCCCTTGTCTTTCCTCTTCTTGGCATGCTTCTCGGACTCGTCGCTGCTCGAGGCCGCCGCTTCCACACTCGACGCGCAAGTGGCCGAGCTGGTCTTGGCCTTGTCGGCGCAAGGTTGCCCCTCCCCGCGGCCTGCTGCCAGTACAGGGCCTTCATTGCCGCAGGCGCTTCTCTGTCTTAGGGTCCACGCCGCGACTGTTTGGATGCTTGCTGAGAATGGCAAGGTGGCCATTCAACAACGACAATTTACGCACAAAAACAAACACACACACACACAGACACAGACACAGACACAAACACAGACACACACACACACACACACACACCCACACACCCACACCCACACCCACACCCACACCCACACCCACACCCACACACACACCCACACCCACACACACACACACACACACACACACACACACACGCACGCACCCACCCACACACACACACCCACCCACCCACACACACCCACACCCACCCACACCCACCCGCACCCACCCACACCCACCCACACCCACCCACACCCACCCACACCCACCACACACACCACACACACACACACACACACACCACACACACCACACACACGCCACACACCACACACACCACACACACCACACACACACACACCACACACACCACACACACACACACACCACCCACACCCACCCACACCCACCCACCCACCCACCCACACCCACCCACACCCACCCACACCCACCCACACCCACCACACACACCACACACACACACACCACACACACCACACACAAACACCACACACACCACACACACCACACACACACACACACCACACACACCACACACACACCACACACACCACACACACCACACACACCACACACACCACAAACACCACACACACACACCACACACACACACCACACACACACACCACACACACCACACCACACACACACACACCACACGCACATACCACACACACACACCACACACACACCACACACACACACACCACACACACACACACCACACACACCACACACACCACACATCACACACACACGAAACTCGGAAATTTGCGCAGTTTGCCTGAGCGGGAAGTGTGAAGCGGGCGAAGCACTAGTGTGGAGAGGTTTTCCGTACGCGATTGAAGGGTCCGACCACATAAAGCCACTCTGAATCTCAATCCTCATCCATTTTGTCATAAAATTGGGTTAGCTCCTGGGCATGGTGGTGTGACCAGTCGAAATGAGGAAAACCAATACAATTGTCTTTCCAGATTAGAAGCAAAATTGGATCCAACAAGGAAACACAGAGTTCCAACTCTTGCTCGAAGTTAGAACTGAATAGCAAATCCCTTTGCAAACAAACATATTCACTAGGATTTAAGTAGAATGTTCATAGAATTCTACAATAAGAAAGAATTTATTTAAATTTAGAGGATAAATTTTACTGAAATTTAGATTGCACATCAGCTTAGAAATTGAACATGATCTAAAAGAGAAAGGCTTCACAAGAAAATCGCACGCGCCTTGCTGAGACACCCTGTGCCGCACAGCAAATAATAGCCCGCAACACAGCCTATGCAAAATATGCACAAGGCATAATGCAGGTCCAATACAAGTAGTTACCAAATACAAATACAACATGAATCGTCAAAACATCGAGAAACCCTTGCATGTATAGAACACAGGCAAAGGAGAAGTAGCGTATTCAACTGGCAATCTGGTGTTGCCGTGTTTGATGGGTCCATGATTGACATATACAATCTCCCGGAATGAAAGGGCGCCACGGAAAAGCCTTTTCACAGGGAACACGTCCCGCTTGAACCGGAAACTTCCGTGTTTGCGTGCAGTTGGGGCGGGGGGGATAATCTGGGATGGCAGTGTGGCGTATCAAATCAAGAGTAACCTGACTGGACGAACGAGTCTAATTGGAACAGGAGTGGTGTGGCAAACTTTCATGCACGTGGCCCACAGAGTGTCAACTTCAACAACGAGAAGTCAAATCTACCCATAAGTGAATGTGGTATAGCGAGTAGCCAAATCTTGCCTCATGATCTGCATTTGGTATTGTTGATGCCAAAACCCTGCATGTTGATCCAGCTAGAGCAGCAGTTGTTTCGCACTACGAGCAGTCCAATCCAACCACCAGCAAGACCCTTTAGCGTAGAAGCAAGCCGAATGCAATGCTGAGAACCTGGGAAGAGCAATCAATCAGCTTCTTTTTAATAACAGGGTAAGCAAGTTCCGCACAAACAGACCGTGTTGTAGTAGAGGTTCTAGACATTGGTTCCTAGCTACACCTGAATACAGTCTCCTGCCAACTATCTGCAGTCCTGGGAGCGTTTACAGATTTTAGTGCTCTCGCACACAATATTGAGAAAAGAACATCAGCAACCGAAGTGTGCACTCTTATCATGGTCCTTCAAACTCTTTCTCGTGCAATTTGATAGTCTTCTAAAAACCAATCCATCCCCCTTGTCCTTCCTGGCGACAACAACAACGAACATAAGGGAGCCAAATGAAAGAAGCCCCCATGGGTGACGCAGCACCCATGCCGCCCTCCCCCCCCCAAACGTGACCTCGTCATAATTTGCCCAAACATATGGGTGTTTCTCACGGACCAAAATGGTGGCTTCCCCTTTGGTTTCCCACCCAAAACGAGTACTATTCCAAAAAACACAGACCCATGTGCCCCTTTTGCGCCGTTTTTCTGAGGGCAACCAAAGGGAACACCCCCTTCCTCGTTCTTTTTTACACAGACACACACACCCGCCTCCTGTGCCAGCGCCTCCCTGCCCGGAGGCTCCGTCACGGGGCAGCTGGGTAAAGGCGGCGTAGGCCTACCAACTCGAGGAGTCCATTCGACCAGCGCTCGTCAACGTCGGAATCCATGCTGATAGATTTTCCGCGGGCGGTCGAGCAAAAAAAGAGCGTGGGACTCAGTCCATGGGAGGCGCGTGTGTTTTTCCCATGCACAAAGTTGGTCGAGGCTTGGACTAAAGATTATGTTTGTTTCAGAAAAAGAAGATACCATCCACCTTTGGGCTTCCCTTGGGGCAACAGATCAATTATGAGCCATTATAGCAATTCGTTTGTGCCCGGGGGGCAAGGGCCCTGCAGCATGGGCTCGCTGCAGATGTTGAGCACGCTTCTATGTGCCAGCCCTTCTCTTATGGGTCGCGGCATCTTTGCGGTCCTACGTGTTGACTTGTTTCGGTCGTATGCGTTTCACTCGTTTCGGTCCTGCTTTGCGGTGTCATGTCTCGGTTTGGTCCTAGTTGTGGCCATGTGGGTTTGCCATTCAAGGCCTGCGTTTTCGTGCCAGGGTACAGTGCGAGTGTCAATTTATCCATAAAAAATGGAAGCAGCCACTTATCATTTAAAGCCTTCTGTTCGGACTTGGGTATGTCTTGCGGGTACACCCCTTGCTTTCCAGGGACCAGCTTGGGGTTCCGAACCGAATGTGATCCCATGTGACGTACGGCAAACACCAAACCACACCAGGCTGCCGAACATCTTTTATAACAGTAGAAGTGCTAAATCCTGTTGAAGCCGGACATAGCAAAACCAACTTGAGGGGCTTCCAAGTTGATGAATGTCCTGGTTCCAATGAAACAATCGTCACGTTTGGAGGTCCAGAAATGTTGGACATGCTGGGAACCCTTACAGGTTGTTGAGCCACTCTTTGTGATACGAAGGGAACCGCCCTGTAAAGTGGTCATGGAGACAGCCCACTGTGATATCACAAGGGACCCATCTTTCACCATGGGACTTACTAGGTTTGTCTCAAAGCCAGAGACCCCCCCTGTTGAGTTTTCCTGGCTTGTCCTATCAAACCAACCCAAAAGGGGATTCCCCCCAACAAGCAAACATACCCACCTGAGATTTCCGATACAAAAGCCTGAGCCCAACCCGCGACTTTGGCTGACAGGCTTCCGCATTACTAAGTACAGCTGAGCCGAACCACCAAGCCAAACAAACGGCAGGAACGGCATGTGTTCAAAGTTGTTGGAAAAAGGACCCCCCCGACGATGTCAAAATCAGTACCCCTAGTGGCCTGTGATGGTAGTTTCCTTGCAAAGGGGTCAAACACAAGTCCAGCTGGTTGTAACGCAATGTGGATCCACGTTAAAGCAAAGCTCATCCGGGCGCATAAAGATCAACTCGTTGAACACAGGGCGTGACAGTTGTGAAGATTGGCTGACAACACTTCCCTGTTGGCGGTCGTTGCGTGCTTCATGGCACAATAGCACACAACTGAACTCCTGCCTGCATCTTGAATCGGCAGAAGGTGCTGGAAGCACGGTGATGGCTGTGCAATGTTTGTTGCACTGTTCTGCTGCACCAGTCTGCACTATTGCAGTGTTCAGCGAAGACATACATTTGTGAAAGGTGTATATCACGTACTGCACGTCTCCTGCGCTTGTGCCAAATGGCGGCATCCAAGATGTCCAAAGCAGCGCGCTGCTCGAGCAGGGCATGCCTCAAGTTGGCACCTTTGGGAGGGTTGCAAGACAACTCTACGCATTCTTGATGTTTACCAAATGCAACCAACATGCATCCAACGCCCCCTTTGAATGGCAACGGTTTCTTGCGAGTTCCCCTCAAAACCGTCCCACGGGTCCAAACAAGTGGTCGTACTGGTGAGAGAGCGGCTCCGGCCACAAACAACACAACAGCCTGTCAATCCCGACTGTGATGGGAATATTGCTTTTCAAAGTAGTGGGTGGGCATGAAAACCCATGTACATGAATACTACCCCTTCTTTCAGGATATGGGTCCGGACCCACAAAATGGGTTGAACCGGCCCCAAAGATGAGTACCCTCAAAAAAAACAAAGACCCGTGTCGGCAGCTGCATTTTCGGGAAAGCCTGTCCTGCTTTATCCATTCGGCGAGTTATTCACTCCAGGCATTATCGGCGGCGGCTCAGCCGCCCAGCAGCCACAATCGAGGCTGTTTGCGCAAACCAAACAGCCCATGCCAGAACTCTGACAAACCAGCTGTGGCCACTCTAAACTTGGCAAGGCCATCCAGCTACGGACACCCATCCAGTCAAGACGCGTGCGAATGGAATCTACGGCTTGAAAGCTTTGGACTTCAGGAGCTGCACGCGCTGTGCCATAAGCTCGCCCAAGCTCTTGATCTGCTTCTGGTGCGCATCCAGCATCGCCACCTCAGGCCAAGAGGCAACCGAAGAGAGTCCAAAAGGCTGGGCTGACCACGGCAACTCAGAGGCCAACAGGACTTAATCGCTGACGTATGAACTGCTTCAGGGTATCACGGAAAGTGGCCTTATCCTATTTTCGACAACCAATTGGCGCTTTGGATCGGTGGCTTGCTATTCTGGTCTTTTGCCCCCTTTTTGGGATTACAGTATGTCTTAAGTTGGTTCGGCATTGAGATTCGCGGGGGTCTACTTATTCTGGGTGTTTGCTCCTTTTAACTGGTGTTGGAATTGTGTTTTTGGTCTGGGGATAAATAAACTCGGTTGCTTTTTGCTCCCCTGCCGAAAGTTTAACTTTTAGTGGTTTAATGGAAAACCCATTAGTTGGCAAAAAAGTTCAAGTCCTAAAATCCAAGCAAAAAGCGCCAAAGTATAACCAATGGTACCATTTTGGGGTAGGTGCACCAGGTTCACCGGGCTTTTGACCCATGGCCAGGTAAAAAGCCCCGGGTTTTCCGACGTGTCTCCGACCTCGAGCTCTCTTCGCTGCGCGTGGAAGTCCTCCACGCACTTCAGTGCCTCGGCCACCGCCCCGGCGCCCGGGACCTCCGCCGCCGCGGCAGAAGCTTCGGCGGACTCGGGGACCTCACAGTTGGGCCAAGGGCTTGGAGAAGCTTTGGTTTCATTCCTAGGTGCTCCAGTAGAGAGGCTAGAAGAAGGGCACCCACTTGTTTCTTTTTTGCGTATTTTTGTAGGGGAACCCGCTCCCAAATAAGGGTAAAAGGGCACTACTGGAGGACCTAGACAATTTCGGGCGAGTTGCTGCCTAGCCTCGCGGGTCAAAAGGACCCAGGAGAACCACCACATTATACATTGGCGCCTAAAGAAACCAAGACACAGGAGCAAACAACAACAAACACATCCCATCACATCCCTTGTTTCAGCAAGCTTTTTGGCTACCTCTTTGAAGAAATACCGTCTGGTGATCCGCCTCAGTGAGGAAGCGCTGCAGCGCCTGCAGCAGGTCCCTCAACGCCAGGCGTGTGTCGTGCAGGGGGTCCCCTGCCTCAGACTCCGAGCTTCATGTCGGGGTCGCTCGCCGTCTTTTTCGGGGACCCCCCGAACAAAAAAAAAAAGCGACCAAAGAAAGGGGGTGCCCTCCAAAACAGACACGCCCATATGGGTCACTCTGTTTTTTGTTGGAGGGAAACCTTCGGGGGGGAGGTTTTGTGAAGGACAGCCAGGAGAATCACAACTTTGCGGGTCCCCCTATTTCAAGACACACACGCGTCACGTGGAGTGAATTGGCTCAAGTGCCGTCCTCCTGGAGGAGGCAATCCCCCGCCCGCGGGCCGTCCGAAACAGGAAACTCACGTCACACGGGAACTCAACATGTGACGGGAAAAGAGTACAACCTTCCAATACGTGGAAATCTAGGGACACCTACGGTTTCTTCCCTACATAGTACAATTGAACCAACCACATCCAACCAAACCCCCAAATTGCAGTAAATCACTGGGTTTCTAATTTGTTCCACCTTCGACCTTGAGTTGCCATCCTCACCTACCAGCATTCACCAGCTGGGTTCGGAATTCGGCGCGAAACGGGCCCAGCCTTGGCCTTCTTCCCGCTCTTGGGCAGAGCGTTTGTCAGGTGCAGCACCACTGGCAGCAAGAGGTTCAGACAGCTGAGCAGCGTGGTGAGTACCGGCACCCCGCTGGAGCCTCGATCGGAACCCAAACCCGATTCCCATCTCCAACCTGCGGCGTTGTTTGAAAGGCTTGGAGCAACCTTTGAGGGGACCCCAAAACGGGCTCGGCGATCTTCTTGTTTTCCCTCAACACAACCCCAAAACTGCAACCTTGAAAAGGAGACCAGCTCCATATAAACCGTTAGGAATCCATGTTGGAATAATTACGCCACAATTCTGAAATGCGTTAACCACGAAACCAGGGGGTTCACGCCTGGGATTACGTTCAGCCTGTGACTCATGAGAAAGGCAAACCAACTGAACGCCATAGACAGGGTCCTCAGGGTCCAGGGAGCCCACAACGCTACCGGGAACAGAAAGGTTGAGCATGCAGAGTTGAACATGCAGCGGTGTTCACTTGTGAATGAGTAGGGCGCACTCCAAGCGCTGGGTTTCCCTTTCAAACATCGCCCATTTGCTATGCATCTGTAATCCCAGTCCCTGAGAAAGATGGACCAATGTGACGTTGCATTTGCAAGGCTCGAACTGGTTTTGACTCATACCCACGAAGGGGTGCTTCCGTTTGACAAGCGTTCAATGGCAAGCTTGCACAGGCAACATGCTGCACTACACGAAAAGCCTCCTTGGGGCGTTAGAAAAGAAGGTACACAACACCATTTACTTGCGTGCTAGAAACTACTGGTGCATCAGAACTCCGTGTGTTTGTTACGAGTACGTGCTGCTGAACTGTATACACACATGTACATGCATGTGTATATATGAATACATACACATTACTTGTGTAATTATTCGGTCACCCCCGCCCCCTCACCAATACTAAGTGTGTGCCTTGTGAAAACTCGATGCTCATAGTTTATGTAGTTTCCTGCGTCTGGTTTGGACGGAAAGCCTAATACAAGTGCATGAAGACATGGGTACTTGTATATTCTGTGCAAATGATACATTTTCGCCTACTTGAAACCTTCTCTACGTGTGACGTCGCAAACCCCATACTGGCATCGCCAGAATTTGCCCAGATGTTGGAGTTCAAAGGGCGGCCCTTTAGTTGAGGCACACCTTTTGCGAGCCGGGACCAAGAAGGAGAACGTCCAACCCGCACCTTCGAGGGGGGAGGGGGTCGGGGGATCCCGTCACAACTTCCCCACAAACGCCTGAAACCACTGGACCTCCGTTTTTCAGACCGCCCCATCCAACGACCATTTGGCTGTGGGTCAAAATGCGTACCAAACATGGAACCCTGGTAATTTGGAACCAAAGACTAAAACCTGCGGTCCCTGGTCGTTGTATTTTGACCCACGCCCACTTGACCCTGGGACCATTCCTTGGGCTCAGCGGCCCAGCGCCCAGACCTTCGGCGATCCGCCGCTCTCGCCGCTCTCGTCGCGCGGGGGCGGGGCAAAGGCGGCGAGGCGCGCGGCAACGCGCCCGAAGGCGGAGGTGAGGGCTTCCAGGCTGGCAGTCGCCTCTGGCCATGCCTGGCATAGGGCCCTGGGAAAATCACTTTGAAACACTTTGTGAGGGGAGGTGGGGACTGTGCAACCAGGGTAATTTGGAGGATGTCACTTTAACGGGCCGGCTAAGCAGGGTTGCGCGTTTGACTTTTGTCCCCTTTTCAGGAAAACAAGTTGAAGCCGGTCCAAGAAAGGGTCAAAAGGCACCCAGACCAACCTTCCAATTTGGGTGATCCATGTAGAGATCGATATCCAAACTTCTCCCAGTGGGTCTTGGAGGTCGTTTATTGACTTTTGTGACGAGGCCTCAGTTCGCTTCGCCAGCAACTCGCAGGCCGTGAAGCCGCAGGCCTGCTGGAACCTCGAGTTCGACTTTGGAGTCAGGGGACCCTGAAAGCTACGGAGCGCGGCGCACATGTGCCTCGTGCTGGGATATCACCTGGGCTTATTTTGGGTCCCCATGTTTGGAGAAGTTTGCCACCAAAAGGGACTTTGGGGTTAATCCCATGATCAGTGCGGGGGCCAAAGAAAGCACGAGTTTCATAAGTTTTCGGGGGGCCCATTTGTTCAATGGAGTGGACAAGGGGCCTGTTCAAGAAGGTTGTCTTCCAACTGAGCTTCAAATGATTGGACGTAAAGTACAATTGCCTTTTTGGGACGAGGGCGCGCCCGAACCCCGACAAGAAACCCAAAACAACCCCCCGACAAGAAACCCATCCACCTCCCGACAATTTTTGTTCTTTCACCCCACGACAAGAAATCGCTTTGGGGCCTCAGGAGGGATTGGCTGGGGATCCGCTTTTCGAGCTGGAATGCGGCTCGAAAAGCGGATCCCTAAGAGAACCTTCATCTCGGCCCCCTTTCAGGAGGGATTGGCTGGGGATCCGCTTTTCGAGCTGGAATGCCGGATTCCAGCTTGAAAAGCGGATCCCCAAGACAACCTTCATCACGGCCCCCTTTCAGGAGGGATTGGCTGGGGATCCGCTTTTCGAGCTGGAATGCCGGATTCCAGCTCGAAAAGCGGATCCCCAAGACAACCTTCATCACGGCCCCCTTTCAGGAGGGATTGGCTGGGGATCCGCTTTTCGAGCTGGAATGCCGGATTCCAGCTCGAAAAGCGGATCCCCAAGACAACCTTCATCACGGCCCCTTTCAGGAGGGATTGGCTGGGGATCCGCTTTTCGAGCTGGATTGCCGGATTCCAGCTCGAAAAGCGGATCCCCAAGACAACCTTCATCACGGCCCCTTTCAGGATCCGCTTTTCGGATTCTGGGGATCCGCTTTTCGAGCTGGAATGCCGGATTCCAGCTCGAAAAGCGGATCCCCAAGACAACCGTCATCACGGCCCCTATTCAGGAGGGATTGGCTGGGGATCCGCTTCATGCCGGATTCCAGCTCGAAAAGCGGATCCCCAAGACAACCTTCATCACGGCCCCCTCCGCTTTTCGAGCTGGAATGCCGGATTCCAATCCCCAAGACAACCTTCATCACGGCCCCCTTTCAGGAGGGATTGGCTGGGGATCCGCTTTTCCAGCTCGAAAAGCGGATCCCCAGCCGAAAAGCGGATCCCCAAGACAACCTTCATCACGGCCCCCTTTCAGGAGGGATTGGCTGGGGATCCGCTTTTCGAGCTGGAATGCCGGATTCCAGCTCGAAAAGCGGATCCCCAAGACAACCTTCATCACGGCCCCCTTTCAGGAGGGATTGGCTGGGGATCCGCTTTTCGAGCTGGAATGCCGGATTCCAGCTCGAAAAGCGGATCCCCAAGACAACCTTCATCACGGCCCCCTTTCAGGAGGGATTGGCTGGGGATCCGCTGAAAGAAGACTAGGGGAAGAGGAAAGAAGACTAGGGGAAGAGGAAAGATGACTAGGGGAAGAGGAAAGAAGCTTGTTTTGGGCTGCAAGCATCGCTGTCGGGGTGTCGGTGTTTTTTTTTGTTGTGGGGTGAAAATAAGAAATTGTCGTGGTAACCAACGTTTTAGTCGCAGGGTTGCAGTTTTTTGGCGTGGTTAAGGCCCGTGCTGTTTTTGGGACATCGTGCTAGTGAGTCTCCCTTTGGGTTTCTCTTGGTCTTTCCGGCCCAAGTTTGTTTGCGTGACAAGCTTGGTTCGCGAACGCTAAATCTAACCAACCCCCCACCAAGAGCTGTTGGGCGGCCATCGGTGTGGTGCAGGGAGCTCCAAACAAAACTTGGCGAGCGCGTGAGGGTATCTTCCTACGGGTCCCACGGACATGAATCCATGTACAGCGGGTTTAAGCAAGGGGCCAGGGGCAGTCAAACAAGTGATGTTGACCTGGGAGTACACTGAGTCCCTGGTCGATCGGTAGAGGCAATGCACTTTTTGGGGGACAACCCTTCCACACAGAACGGGAAGGGTTGCACCCTTTGACCCCGAAGGGGTACAAATTTGCCACAAATGACCACAAACGGGTGGCAATGGTAAACCACCAATAAGAAGCCAAGAAGCAAGGAGTAAGCAAAGGAGATGACGGGTGAGTAAGCTCTAATAAGCCAGCAGCATGGGTACATTAACGAGTCTGTGTGGGCGACGGGACAATCTTTGCCAGATGCGCGGCCCAGTTGGTGAGTTAGTTAGTAGTGGGAACCATGCTTTTGTTACCTCAAAGTTGTTCAGAACTACAACATATGACGAATGTCTGGTGAAACCTTGCTTCAGCTTTGGCCCCAGCAGCAATGCGTTGATTGAGTCCGACCCATATGCAGCGAATCTGAACGTGCTCCAGTTTGAATTCAGTTGACGTTCAATTAGAATAATACTATTGGTATAACATTTTGGGAACACCATTGAGTGTGAGCCTTGAACAAGAGGCTAGCCAATAATATACACCCCAACATGGACATGGGATCAAGATCTGGTCTTTTTTGCGACAACTCTCTATTTTGGTCTTCAGAAACATGTCCTTTTTTAGGGACCCACTGATTCTGGTCTTCCTCTTAGTTGTCCTTTAAAACCACTTAAAAAGGGCCACCCTCGAAAAGGACGACTCTCTATCTCGGTTTAGCGTACACACGTTCTTTCTTCGACAAGCATCGTGAGTCTGTGCTCTTTGCTCTAGCAGGAAACCTCAAAAAGGACACATCCCTCCAGCTGCCTGAGTAGCCTGGGAAAAAAGCAAACAACACATACTTCCCAGTGATAGTTCCCTTGTAAAACCAACAGGGTGACATAAACAACATCTTATGATAGAACCGGGAGCTTCGGTTGCCACTGGAGTCCCCCAATTCTATTCAGAAGATCCTCCAAAACCAACCACATGGGTTTGTCTTTTTCTTGAGGCTACTCCCTTTCTTCTGCTTTTCAGGGAATATACTATATATATATACACACCAACCGGAACACCGAATCCATCCTTCTTTCTTTTTTTTGGGGGGGGGAGGGCTCCAACCTCCAAACGCCACGCCCCACCTCCGCCTCCCCGCCCCCCCCGCTGGCTCCCCCGTCCGCCGCCTCCGCAGCGCCTTCCGCAGCGCCTCCTCCTCCGAGGCCTCGGCCGCCTCCGCGGCGCAGGTGCCCAGGTCCGGGAGCTTCAGCGCCTCCCAGCGCGAGTGGTTGCACCCCACCAGGAAGCTCAAGGCGCTTTTTTGTTCGTTTGTTCCAAGGGGATGACAAAAAGTGCCCCCAAAAAGTTCAATGTGCATCAGGTCCTTTGTTTGTGGGGGAGGATATTAACAAACAACACGCCGGTTCCTCTTCTTTTGTTTGACTTTTTTTTTTTGGGGGGGGGGACATGTCAAGCAACCAAACACAATTTGTCATGGTTTGGGGGGTCGTGGATTTTTAGCACCCAGCCGTTTGCAAGTAGAACGCAAGTGGAAGATTGTTTGAAGGGTTAGTCACCCCCCAAGCGGAAACCAAATGGTAAACGCTTATTTTAGGGGATTCCCCGATTTAGAGAAATCAGCCCAAAGCGAATTCATGGTAGTTGGATGGATTTGAGGAGAAGGATGAGAAACGAATAATGAACTACAATTACTCTGAGAACTCCTGACAATTATCATGCACACATGAAACAAGCCATCAATTGATTGTAGATTAAGCTCCTTTGGGGATTGGAACCCTTCTGCAAGTAAGAGATGTGATACCAGGCATGTGCCTAATTAGGTATCCTCATTTTTCTTTGGGCTGGTTTCGTTACATTTCCCTTTTTGGGGTCTTCTCCGTCTTTGCAGATTTTGTTCGCCGCTCCTGCAGCGCCGCTTTGGCTGCGCCCAGTGACTCAGTCACCCGCTCCTGGCGGAGGCTGTCACAAAGGTGGTGAGAACTGAAGCCAGGCTCCCATGGAAGAGGCAACCCTTATCTGCCAAGACTTCTCCCAATGCTTCTCTGGTACAATGGCTGGCTTTTCTCTCTCTGACAACATGCTTCCTCACACATATCAAACGCCTTTTCCCAGTGGTTGCTCTAGGATGGTAAAAGTTGGCCACCCTGCACACACAAAACGCATTGACGAATCTGAAGTGTCCGAAGGGTTGGTCGATTTTCTTTGTTACATGTTGCAACAATCCACCGTGGACCAGGTCATGGCCGCTTGTTGCCTCCCAGTTGGTGGCTTCTCTGTCCCTCTTGGGCTGGGGCTCCATTGGAACAAATATATGGCCATGGCTCAAAACCCAAACGTACCCCCAGTGAACATCCCAATCCCAACTAAAGATAAACATGGGTGGTGCACCGAAAACCCCAAAATGGGATCCCATTAGTTCTGACAGCCACAGCCTTTTACCAACTTGTGGTGTTCAAAGGACAACCTTACTCCATTTCTTCCGCTTTTGCTTCCGATGCAAGGCCTTTGCGCCTCATGGGTGCCGCATCAGGCAATGCCGGAAATGCCAACAAGGCCTTGTCAATGGACCAATACGGCCATGGGCAGAACCTATGGCTCCATTTTGGGGTGGATGAACATCCATTTGCCATTTTGATGTTCACCAGGGGTACAGGGTTTTGACCCACAGCCATACTCCGGACTTACATCCACTTTGTGCAGGGCTGCTGCGTCCTGATATTCACTGCCACTACCGGCAAGGACCTGCGAGGCAGGAGACTTCCCACAGACCAAAAGGGCCCTGGGACGCCGACCAACACCTTTGTGAGGCCAGTCATTGGTGTCCTTTTTGCCGGTTTCACAGAAAATCGTGTAGTTGCTATTTTTGGTTTGAAATCGGTTCCGATCATTCTCCTATGCCATACTTTCTCCAAAAGTCTGGATGTCCACGGTGGCCACCGACCGTTTGGCAAAGCTGGCAAAACAACATTAGCGGACCCTGGCTGTCAAGGGAAATCATGGGTTCTATGCTAATTCGCAGGGCAGTACGTATGTTGTAGCCGCCGGGCTGGAGCGAGCGACGAAAATTCGCCTCCTCCCCCTTGAGGGCCAGCTGTAGCACGTGCAGCAGCCGCGCCGACAGCGACAGCTGCGCTGGGGCTTCGTCCAAGGCCTCGCGGTGCCCAACATGTCTCACTTCCAATTTCATTTGCCACTAAAATATGGTCTTCCCAGAGAGTTTAAAGTCCAGGCACTCAATAAGTGAGAAATGGGTCTGACTCAGAATAGCCCCTAAAATGGGTGGGGTGTCCTTTGGTTTCCCTTTGAACCACCCCAAAAAGGGTACCCTCAACAAAGACACCCAACTGTGTTCCTTTGTTTTCTTTTTGAATACCAACCAGGGTCCACCATTTTGAGAAACGCTCCGGCAAAGTATTCAAATTCCCAAAGTGGAAATATTCGGAGCCTGCTCAGAGCGTGCTGCAGTTAAGGACCCAACACCAATCGTCTACCCTTGTGGTTTGGACATAGATTGTTTTCAAGTTCGGAGTTGTTCGAAGAGTGGGACATCATCCGTACTCGAAGCATCTAAGCATCTGCTGGCCCAATAAGACATCCAGCCTCCAACAGATCTAAACCCACAGTGAAGCAATCAAGTGAGCCACTGAGAAGCCTGGCGCAATAGTAGGCCGACAAGAACCAAATTTGGCATTCTTAGCAAGCAACGGCAGTGTCAGGAACCCTACAATGTTGTTCCATACTCAATGTTTGAGCAAAGCACGACACCTATTCCAGCAAATGCTCCAAATATCCAATGCCAATGACTATTTTCCAATGCATCATCAAGTTCACCAAAAAGTACTACAACAATACAAATCTTATGTTCAACTGAAACACAGGTAGTTTTCCAGAAGGCTGACTGTCCAGCTGAGGGCAGATCACCGAAAGGGCCCGGATGGTAAGCGCCGATCTGGGTTACAAATCACTAATTGGACGGTTAAAAGCAGGGGGCGGATGCCTTTGGTTGGTGAGTCACGTCTTTTTCAACTCCACAAACCTTGCCCCATCCCTGCTTCTTTCTCTAAGCCCGAGAGGAGTTTGCGCTGTGTGTGACCTAGGTTGCTTTGGGGCGAACGCCCAGGCCCCAAAGGTTGATCCACCTACGCGAAATGGGATTCCCCTAAGTGACGCATCCACTTCCCCCCATGTCAGGGAAAATATTATGGGCCCCATGGAACCCCACGTGATGATACCTGCCTGTTGGCCCCTGATCCAACGCCTTGCTCACCAACCACTTCGCTCCGTGAGACTCTTGCCCTCTGATTCGTCCAGTGCTGTCCCTCGAGCCAGTTGATGGCCGCTCCGCTTGTGAACGGTCCTTGCTCTGCGAAACCGGTGCCAGGAGGATGAAATCAATCAGCCCCGAACCAATGGAACCAACCTGGAGGCCAAACCAACGGGCAACATATATTGCATGACATGAACTAACCTAAAGGCTATATAAACCATCCATGTTGAACTTCACCCCCCGAATTCGCACACCTCACCCCACACCCACTTCACCCACAGCCCCGGGCACCTCGCAAAGGAGCCGCTCGGCGGCTCCGCAGCCTCTCTCGAGGAAGCGGTGGCTTCAATACAAAATACTCAACGACAAGGACAAGGATGTGATTACATGTACACATATATATATATGCACATTTATAAGTTGTTAAAGTAGAACTGACTGTGTAATCACCTAACTACCTGAATGTGTGCAAACCTGTGATGTGTCAGCGCGGCACTTGTTGCAGGCAATGGGCTGTAGTCTATCTGCAGGCTCAAGGCCTTGATGTACAAAGGAGCAGTGCCATGTACAGGATGGATGTATATTCACACCCCCTCTTGGATTGGTGTGGTCCTACACCAAGCCAAACAATGTTGTTCTAACTGGACGAAGTGATGTAAAAGTCTGCTATCAACTCTACTGGCTGACATCCATGCTTCTAATGAATCGAATATCCGCACAAACTGCATTCATGTGGCCTAATGTGTGAAAGATGTAGTTGCACCATTGTACCAAAATGGCAGATGTAGGCCATGTTGTCTACTTGGTCCTTTGCGCCTCTTGTCCTCATCGATGTCAGCCACAGGTGTGTCTGAATTCTTGAGGCTCCTCCTGTACTCATTGATCTTGTCAATGTAGTCGGGGTAGATCACGATGTTCCTGGTTGTGAGGAAGGCTGCGCATGTTCGCAATCAATTGTTCCAAGGGCTTCACAGCTGTTGTTGCAACCTTGTACTCTGAGCCGCAATTGCTCGTCTTTGTAATCACAGTTGTAGAACGCTGTGAGCTCGTGTGACTCAATGCCACAAGTCCTGTATAATCAAGGGCTTGAGCGAGTCCAGCAAAAATTGCATCATGGTTTTCAGCCTCAAGATATGTACGGACACCTCCCAAAATCCAAAAAAAGACGTATGAGTCGAGCCAGGCAATGATACTAAGGGAGGACAAAGGGACTGGGGGGACTAGCCCCAACCTACACAAACAAACAAAGCTGGCAAAGCAAGCGAGGGAAGGCGGAATTCAGACACTCCTCACCAAACTCATTTCTCAATCAAATCCATCTATACTCAAACTTACAGGATTTGAGGAACATTTGGACATGAATAGAAAAGGGGGTTCTCTTTCTCATAAAACACGCCTTGAGACAAGCCCATCTGGTGACTCTGCGTGCTTCGCCTTTCATCGCCCTTTTGATCGACCCATCCGCTCCATCGCAAAATCCGCACAGCTGGATAGCGCGCGCCAGGTCACCTTGCGCGGGGGTACGCGCCGCAAACTGTCTCGTGGAAGGCCCTGCGCACACACTCCACTTGCTGTAAGAATGTCAGAAATATCCAGGTGTGCAATGCGGTGTTCCTTGTGAAGAGAAAGGAAAAATAGAACCAGTACAGCAGTCGCGAGTCCCACCCTCCCATGGCATGGCAGGAAACAGACATGAAAGACCCGGCCTCACTCACGGATGCGCTTGCAGCAGAACGCAGCTGCACGCTTGCACTTGCCGCTGTAGAGGAACCCGCAGCACTGTGCTGGGCAGGACCAAACATCTACCAGGGTCCGTGTCTCTGAGGGTGCAAGTACATACTCCGTGTTAATACCTCTTGGCTTCCCTGGTTTCCAATTTTTTCAGCAGTGTTTGGGCATGTGTCCGTGTGGAACGTCTGCGCGTAGTCGCACAGCATGTGCGTGGTGTTCTGCGGGGCCGTCAAGAAGGCGATCTTGATCGTGGCTCCTTGATGATGGAGTCCATCCGCTTGGCCTCAGACACGCTTTTTGCGCGCACGGCAGGTTCCTGCATTGCTTTTTTTCTCTTCCTGCTTCCAGAGATGCTATTTTCGCGAAAAATTATTTGGCAAAGGCTTCGCGAATCCGTTGGCTCCCGTTTGTGTTTGCAGCCTGCAAACTTGCAGAACCGCTTGGTCAAGCCCCACACATGTGCGAGGGGTGCGGGGCCACAGCAACCCTGCCATGATCCAAGCACGCTGCCTGAGCAAGAAATTGGGGTAAATATTGGTCAGCTCCGCCCCTTTCACATGGGCCCTACGATTGTCTCTTCGTGTCTGATTTTGGGGAGCCCCCCAAAAAAACAACAACATCTGTTTTCTGTTTGGATTGCCTTTCAGACCACAAAACGTGGTGCCCTGAACCGAAACAAGGCTCTAAAGCAGAGATTGCGGTGTGGGCGCGGCTCTTTGCATAGGGGGCCCCAATTCCTGGATTTCGGTGCTCCTTTGGGTTTTTCAAGCTAACCAAAAGGGCTTCGACTTAGAAGCGACAAGCCACCCCCTCAACAACAGGCCTCTCCAGAGTCAACACGGCCCGTAAATCATTTTGTGTGAAGGAGCGCTGGCTTTGCTCGTCGTGATGCATCGGCCTGGCTGCCAAAAAGTCAAGTTGCCTCATCGCTCGACACGTGCATGCAAGCCCATGCTTCACTTCGACTTCAACAAGCAAATGAGACAAACACTGGCCAACTCCGCTCCAAAATAGATTTTGGTGGCTTTGCAAGGTGGCACCCGGATTTTGCTTGGCCCTTCAGACCGCAAAACCGTGGCACTCAACGGAAATATGCATCCCGTTCCTGGGCTTGGCCCGTCCCCGTGTTCCCTTCGGTTCTCCTGGAAAGTCGAGCAAAAAAGGGCTCCCAACTCATAAACGACGAGCCTCTCGATTTCCGAAATTCAGCAAAAGCAACGCATAATTTCCTATAGACAAAAGATCTCAGATTAATGTTACGGGACGGGTCTGGCTTTGGGTGATTGTTCTGTCTGCCTCTTGCTTGTACGCGTATTGGACACCAACTCCTGTAAGGAAGGTGTGTCACGTTGTGCTCGAGTATCTCCTGTGGTGTTGGTTGCTTGGGCGCTTGTACTGCTTTCGCTTTTGTTCCTTGTTGTTGTTCTTCATCATCTGATTCGAACTGTGTAGGAAACTCCTGATGTTCTTCAAAGTTTGTCCAGCCTGTCCATGGCTTGTCTGATACTGGCTGTGTTGTCCATTCATCTTCTACCAATCTTGTGTTGTGTCTTTCTCCAACTGGTTGTACCTTGGTCTGTCTCCAAGATATGAGTCGCTTGATGTCTGGCCCGTCGTGTGTCGGGTCCGGTACTCGACGTGTACTCTCTTCCAGAATGTACTTCTGAAGGATGCGCTAGCCCATGTCCAGCTGCACCTGTGGTGGTGTGTGGTGCTGCTGTGTCCTGTATTGTTGGTGGTGTTGTTTTGTCTCTCAATCGTGTCCTTGGGTTGCACTGGATTACTTGTGGTGTGACCTTCTGTGGTGCGGTCTTTGGCTGTGTCTTTGTTGCAAACTGTTGTTGTAGTGTCTCTGGCAATGTTGTGCATTTCCACATTTGCTGTTCTGCTTTGTTTGGCTCTTCCATTGTTTGATGCTTGTCCTCAAACGTGTTCGTTGTACTATCCTTGAATCTGATGGTTGTTCTCCTGTAGTCCTCAAGTTGTTCTGCTGGGACTGCCACACTGTGTTCTTCCTGTGTTGCCTGTGTGCTCTGACAAGTTCGCCTATTGTGTTGAACTGCAAGTAGTCTCCTGCGTTTCCTGTATCTGCAGGACCTTGTGGTGCTGTTCTGTGCTGTGTGTCTGTAGCTTTGTTCCTTTTGGCAATGTTGCGATTTCTGCTTGTAGGAAGAACAGGCCATTTCTGTTCTCCAGTGCGCTGTTGAACCCTTTGATGTGTTGTAGCCTTGGATTGTCCTCCAATGTAAGTTGGAAACCTTGTTGCACCAGCCTTGTAACTGAAAGAATCGGCTGTTTAACATCACAAACGTAAAACGGTGTGACAATTTGTTGTCCGCTGTGGTTTGTCACGCAAACCCATCTGTTCCCGAAAAGCTTGATGTGTTGGTTGGTCATTGTTCTGAGCTGTGGTCCTGTTCCATGTTCCAGTTGGTGTAGTGGGAATTGTGGTGCAAACCATGGTGGGCATACATGTGTAGCCGCACCGCTGTCAATCATAAGACTGACTCTCTTGTTGTCTTCTGTGGGTTGCTGCGCTGTGCCAATCATGGCAATTGTTACTTCTTGTAACCCTGAGACGGGTACTACTGAAGGATCTGCTAGCTGTGGTGGTTGTGGCAATGCAAGTTGTTGCATCTGTGTCAGATCCTGGTGGTACCAGTTGTAGTCATAGTGCGCTTGACTGTACCAGTCATCTGTTTGGTCGTTGGTGTCGAAGTTGCCAGTGCCACAGTTGTAGATCGCCACTCTGCATTGTTTGGCCATGTGTCCTGGCTGACCGCATCTGTAGCAAACATGTGTCGCATGCTTTCCTTTTGCTCCTTTTGCTCCTTTTCCTCCTTGTTGGTTGTTGTAGTATCCTTTTCCTTTTCCTTTGTGGTTGTATCCTTTTCCTTTGCCATATCCGTGTTGTCCTTTGAAAGGGTTTCCTTGTCCAACCGGTTGTTGCTTGTATTTGCCTTTTGCTCCTTTGTAGTTGTAGTTGTTCCCGTAGCTCCCGTAGCCTTTGCCTTGTTGCACATTCCTTTGCCCTTGTGTTTGCCCGTCTTTCCCTTGCCTTTGTTGTACCATGTTGCTCCTATGTCCATCAGTGCCGGTCCTTGATTGTTGCTGGCTAATGTGATTGCTTGTAGCCTGGTGAAGGGTGCTGTTGCTCTGTAGTATTCGATCACCATGGATCTGATCTGTGCATATGTTGTGATGCTTCCTGCTTGCAGCTGTAGGTGTGTTGTTGTTGTAGGGGGCCTTTTGTCTCATTGAGCAGCACTGCGACCTTGACTGCATCTGGTAGTAGTGTGTTGTTTTCTTGTTCATACTTGGAGAGTTGGAGCTCCCATGTTGTGAAGCTCTCTTCGAACTTCTGTTCATCCAGTTGTGGTTTTAGTAGCCGTGTAAGGTACCCAATGCTTCTTGTACCAAGGGGTATGGAGTACCTGGCGTGGATCAGTCGCCATGTCTCGAAACCGTTGCCTTGCATGTTTTGTCTGCGTATTGTAGATGCTGGTCCATCGCATCTGCTCACCAAGAGTACCCAATGCTCAGTTGTATCCAATGCTCTCACTGCTGTGTACCTGAACCTGTGGGTGCGTGTTGGAGCTCACCCTGGGTAGTGGCCGAGGATCGTGTACCAGGGATCACTGCTCCGCTACCATGTTAAAGTAGAAGTGACTGTGTAATCACCTAACTGAATGTGTGCAAACCTGTGATGTGTCAGCGCGGCACTTGTTGTCTCCAGGCAAGGGGCTGTAGTCTATCTGTAGGCTCAAGGCCTTGATGTACAAAGGAGCAGTGCCATGTACAGGATGGATGTATATTAACATAAGTATATTAATATATATATATATATATACATATGTATATATACATATGTATATATATATGTATATATATATATATATTAATAAATATAGAGATACATATCCAACCCGATGGTTGCACTATTCCAGCTGAAGTGTTCCACGAGTCACCTAAAAAGTCAACATTTGACCGTTTCCTCTTGGTGTCCCTCCCTCCCACCGAAAGAATCCGACAGGGCAGCGCCTTCTCGCGGTGCGGGTCTCGGCTGCCTTGGGCAGCCCCAGGAGCTGGCGAAGGAGGTGAGCCAGCGGGGGCTTTGCCTCAAGGGCTCCTGAGCCGGGTTATGACTTTCACTGGGCGTCTTTTTTGAGGGTACCCTTCCTTCCATTTGGTTAAGACCCTGGGAAAACATGAAAATATGTCCAGTAGGGATAGTCCCTTTAAAACCAACAGGGGCAAGTAAACCATATTCTTACTTCTGGTGGTTTAAAGCTTAAGGGAATCAAAAGGGGCGGGCAGAAGAAAGATTCAACGCATCGGGATTCCCGAATGGATATGGCTGAGGGTACCCTGTTTTGTGGTTTTCAAAGGGACACCACAAGGGAACCACAACTTTGGGCTCTTTTTTTTGAGGGGGGGCCTAAAAGCAAACACGCCCCTCCAAAGTGGGCTTCTGTTTTCCTGGTGTTCATTTAAACCAACCAAACAGGGCTCCCCCAAAGAAAAACAAACGTAACGCGACCCTCTGGTGGACATCGCTTGCTTGGGGAATAATTCTACCAACCACTTTGTGGTTCCGACCCCATGGCTCGAAATGACTAGAATCAACACCTGATGTAATTGAAACCTAAATGCCAATTGGGTTCATTTTCTATGGGCTGGGGTACGTAAAAACCAACTGATCATTTTACCTCTGGCCAACAATGGGAGCGGCTGTCGCAGGCTTTGGCAGGACAATGTCCATTGTCCATGCTTGTCGGAAAAGGGAAGTCATCCAAAAGTAGAAGCATCACGTTCCCGTCCCCAGGCGTTGTTCCTTGTGTTCCTTTTCATTCTCCATGTACCCTTCAGCAGGGAAACTCCATCAACATGCGCAAGCACCAGCAGCGTAGGTGGCAAAAGGATAGGCTTTCGGGGGACAAGGTCGTGCAGCTCAGCCACAAGTAGCTCACATGACAGGTTCCTGGCCACCGGCGTAATAAAGAAGCCCACTAGACACGGCTTGAGATACGGGCCTTCAGCACAACAGCCCGTCCAAGTGCCGAACAAAAACAGAATGGCTCATGGGAGAATGGATGCCCAACAAGACCTTGTGAAGCACTATGGGTAGCCCCCCCTTGCTGGAATCCCCCTTCTTTCTGGGATTGTTTTGATATGTTTTGATTAATTCATCAACGCAAGACCAAGGGACAACACCCAGGGTGCCAAAACAGATCCCAGTAGGACACGGACTTTCTAAGGGACAACTCTTCCAGCGGCAACCTGAAGCTGCCTCAAAGAACAAGCACTCTATGGAACCAACTCGGAAGTGGCACCGATCCCACTCCAACCCACAAAACTGGAACCGGGAAATGTTGAAACTATTGGCTTCCATGGGTTGAGCCATGCAAGCCCTTGCTGAACCAGAAAACTTTCGGATCTTCAGTGGCTTCTTCAACTCACTGCCCCCTTTTTCCATGCGAAGCCCTGGCCCCCTGTCGTGAAAACCTGTCATCCGATCCTCGGGCGACAAGCCCATGGACTCGCCTCGGCCAACATGTGGGCTCTACATAGGGAGGCCTTTTGCACCTCAAGGCCCCACATGTTTTGTTTTCTCCAGTTTGGGGGGGGGGGCCATCACCGGCGCTGGGCACGCATGATTTGTACATATTTGGGCAAATGGGCTGAGAAATTGCCCTTTAAAGTCTTTAAACATTCCTATGGAACACCCAGTTTGGAGGGTGGGCCAATCCACAGAGCTGAACCTCTAGGGACAGGCAAATCAGAGAATGGGAAGGGAGTGGTTGACCTACCCCAGCTCCCAGCTGTTTGCTCATCCGCATCAGCAGTTCGGCCCTTTGACCCCTATTGCTCTTTCTGGGAACTTTCCCGGCAACCCAAGAGGTCAACAGGTCTGGGAATTGCAACGCGGTGTGGACCTCCACGATGGGTCGGCTCCTTCTTACTTTTGGCAAGCTCAACAGTTCTGTGCGATTGCAAATCTAGTTGAGGACCAGGGATCATTTAATCTCCGTCTGGCGAATACCTCAGAGTTCACTCTGACAGCTTCAAAAGGAACCAAGACCGATGCGACTGTGTTGCTTGCATGTTAACATAGTTACACTGTCAAAGAGAGCAAACCTGTAGTTTCCTTCGGGTTTCTGTTCCCCAAAATGAGACACCAGTTCCTTAAAGCCGGGAATCCATCTTTGGATGGTTTGACGCTGAAAGGGAAAGCATTTTAGATGGTTCCCCTATTTTAAGACCTAACAATTTGGAGAACCCAACCCCCAATCCAACCCAACCCACCCCCACTCCGAAAACCCTGGGGACCCTAACGCGGCGTCAGCGCTGGCAGCGGCTGTAGGCCGTTCAGCAGAACCCGGTCTTGGTTCCTGACCAGCTGACCCAGGGATCCAAAGCTACCGGAAGCAGCTCTGTTTGGGGGACAAATTGGCAGACGCCCGAGAGAACCTGCCAAAGAATGCGCTCACGGTCTTGGCAATGCATGGTTGGGCATTGGTTCGCTTTCCGAGCGCGATTGTTGGGCCTTCAAAGCCACAGCCAACTGCATCGGACTGATGCGCCGGACTGAATCACCAGTCTTCTTCTGTTGCCCTCTTACTTTAACAGTTTTCGCAAAACAACCATGTTTTTTGGGGGATTCTTTGGTTGAGCCTAAACTTTCGAGGAGCAGGGCTTTGCCTCCACAGCTCAAGATCCCTTTTGGTGATGGTTGGGGACCCATTGGAAGCCCAATCTTGGCAGCGTAAGAATAAGATGGGCAACCATACGAAATCCCCGGGCCGTTTCCACTTGGTTTCCACAAAGAAGGGGTACCCCACATCGATCTGCCAAAGCTTGGGACCCATCACGAAGGCCTGCGTTACCAGAAGAAGACACCTGCCCCTTCTTTCGCATGAAACCAGCTTTGAGCTTCTTTCTACGGGTAGCTTCCCCATTCTTTCCAGGGATCCTTCTGGGTGAATTATAATATTTCACAAGCCTGAAATAAGGTGGTTTGGGGGCTGTTCCCCACATGAACCACCATTTGGGGTGAGGTCGTGTGAGGTCGTTATAATTCACCCTGGGAAAACAGCTTGTTCTTGAAAAGAACAATGGTTGAAAAGAATGGGGAATCAACTCCTAGCTTCTTGCGTACCCTCAAACACTGGCTCTTCCTTAAGAAGCTGCAACACCAAGCTTCGGGATTTCTTGTGAGGTGCACGGTGAACCAGAATGACATCAAACATTTCGCAGAGCGTGGGATTCAATCACGGTAGAACAACACCAATCCTGCTACTACTTGTAAATCCAACAATTCCTCCCACTTGAGAGTTTTGACCATGGCCATTTCTCAACTCCGCAAGGTATCCTTGGACCCTTCGGGATTTGGACATCGAACCGACTCCTCCAGGCCCAGTGCTCCAAGGGCTGGTCCGCCACCAGCGCGAGCACGCGGCTCTGCCTCCCGGAGTTCCCGTTGCGCCACGGCCCGCAATGCCCTTCCCGGGCGAAGGGGCCGTTCATGGGAGAGCCCATTGGGTACGTGTCAAAATAGGGGGGGACACCATAGGGCGATTTTCGGTTGGTGTCTTACATCAAAAAGGGTAGTTTCGTGTGTGACAACGTATAGCTCTGGGCGAATTATAAGGTTTCACCAAGCTGAAATAAGGTCGTTGGGGGGCTATTCCCCACATAAACCACCATGTGGGGTGAATTCGGTCGTGTGAGGTCGTCATAATTCACCCAGCTAGCTATATTGGGTATGTGTTCAGTTTAAGCGATCTGTCTCTCTCTCTCTCTTTCTCTTTGTCTCTGTCTCTGTCTCTGTCTCTCTCGCTCTCTCTCTCTCTCTCTCTCTCTCTCTCTTTTATTTCAGGTTTCTCTGGAGTGTGAGCGCTATTTGGCTTTGGGGGCGAAGCCAGAGGTAATGAATAAATGTTGTTCTATTCATGGGTCCTGTATATGCCCCTTTCAGTCGGGAAGTCTTGTTCGGGGCCGCCCCATGTGGTTTGTGCGGTGAATCACGAAATGTCCGGGCCCTGAAAGTTTGAGGATCCGGCGGGTGTTGTAAAGTGTGGTCTGGTTGAAAAGTTTTGGCAGCTTGTTTGCAGGGTCGGTCGGGTAGTTAGGTGCTTTCCAACTTTGTGCTAAAGCAGCCCTTGTGAAGTGGTTGGAATTTGCCCAATGCAAGAGGAGACCTAAGAAGCTTTCCCCCGAAGGGAGGAGAGCCTGGGGAAGCTTTGGCACTGAAAGGGGTGAGCCTCTGTCAGCGATTGAGCCGTTTTATCGCCCCGATTGGGAGCTCCTCATTCGACAAATGTGACGGCAACGCCTCTAAAATTGGTAAGGATGTTAATGTTCTTTTGGTGTTGAACCAAAAAAAAGCGAACAAACAAAAGAACTAAGTATCTGTTTGGAAGAGACCCCCAGCTGGCTTTTCAACCGAGAAAGGATTTGGCAAGATGATATCATAAAGACCTGTAGGTCCCTGTGATAGTTGATTCCCCCAAGAGGATAGCAGGGGCGCCTGGATCAGTGCATTCTGCAAGGGACCTGAAATTCCCCTCCGACGGATTGGTATGGGAAGGAGTCGCCAATCTGGAAAAAAACAAACATAAACCACAGACCTGAGACAATATGGGGTGTGTGTTTCTTTGAGGCTACCCAAAAACTGATTTAAGAAACCAAACAGAAAATCACATGGCGTGTCCCCCTATTTTAAAATCAGAAAGAGCGAGAGAGATCCCTTCATCCCTTCGGAGCGAAACCTGCAGCTCTCGGCCAGCTGCTCCCAGGAACTGCTGGCCGCCAGGTCTGCTGCAGTCTGGGCGGAGAGTTCGAAGGGTCGACGGGCGGAGGAACTGAGACACGTGTACCCTACCAAAGACAAACCTGCTTAAAGCTAAAGTTTAGAGAATGTTTAGAGAATGCTTGGCTTTTTGGGGAACCCCCTGTTTTGGTGGATTTAATTGGAAACCAAAAGGAAAACCGAAGCTTGGTTTCGCTTCCCGTTTGGAGCCGAATCGGTGGTTCCTTGTTTGCACTCGGGTGAAAGTAGATGGCACAAGTTCCCGCCGGGTATGTCATCTACCACGGTTTTATTCTTGGAAGACTTTAACTTGACATGAACAGAACCAAAGAAGCGAACAATTAAGCAACATACTAAGAAACAATCCAACTTCTCTTTCAACATCTTTCAAACATTCCAACAAATGGCCCCCATGCTGAGACGTAAGTGGAGGCCCAGTGAGTAACGGCCACAGTGAGTCACGGGTGAAATCTAGCTCAGCCGAAAACAACACGCCCGTTTGGAACCCAGGAACATGTTCAAAGCTTGGAAACGTCATTCGGTCCCTTGAAAGGGGCCCCTGCGAGCCAAGCTTCGCCGGGTTGAGAAGTGGAGCCACACTTTCACCCAGAAAGAATGACATGTGTCTCAGGGCTCTCAAACTAAAGTGACGAAATAATCAAGAAGGCAAACATCGGTGACATGCATGGGCCATTATCCCCCCCTCTTCTGTGGAAACCCTCAAATAGTGGGATAAACAAACCTACCAGCTGTTGCTTAAAGTTTTGCTGGCTTGGACCCCCAAAACGGGGGCTTCAGTTGCGCCAAAAAGCCCAAAGTGCCCGGGTTCGCACTACGCGTGCGGTCACAAATGTCAAGGGGAACCATGGGATGGTTGGGCCTCTTTACTTTGCCCGGCCGGGGAAGATGAATCAGCTCCCACGTTTCGAAGCTCCTGGCCCTGCCTCTTCGACGATGGCCTTGCCCCACATCAAGCTCCGGCTGATCTGACCGGGCGCTAGCGGCAACTCGCTTCTCATCGAGTTGGAAGGCAAGTCTTGGGACTTCCGGTTCCGGACCTCTGGATTCAACCGGCACATTGCCATATTGCATGGAGAAAAAGAAAAAGCAGAAGCCCACGTCCGAGTCTTGCCCGGCCGTCTGAGGCCCGAAGGGCCTCAGTTTCTTCCGCAACAGGACCCAGGAACCAAGCGGTGACATTCATGAACCAAGCGGTGACATTTATGAATTTGCAAGACAAGATCTAAGAGCGCACATTGGGACGCTGTAGCTCACTCTGGCCAACCGAGCAGACAAACAAGACAAAACCATGAGTCTTCGGTCGCACATCAAACCCTTTTTGAGGTTTGCGATTTCATTTGCCCCCAGTTGGATTCAATGAAGGGCTTGAATCCACGTGCCATTCACTGCCTGCATAATGCCATCGGCGTACTCCGGGGCTCTGCAAAGGATTCCTGGCCAGGCAGCAAGGGCCTCAATGTTCAATGGGAAAAACACGAGATGGCAGGCTTCGCCTTGCTCGCCCGAGAAAAACAAAGCAGGTGCTGGTACTCTCACAAAACGATGTGCCCACTTGCCAAGGTCACCCATTGAACAGTGAGCAACCTCCCTCCTGAGCAAATCAAGCTGTCCATGCAAAAGAATGAGACCTAACAGACAAACGGCCCCAATTGCCATTCAGAGGACAACCGTCTTTGTAGGGGGCTTCCCCCGGTTTCCATGTAGCCGAAAATCCAACAGCTTCCGAAGTGTCCAATGGTCAAGCCATGTGCGCAAATCTTTTGGAAGTGCCTCAAACGCAAGAAGCAAGTTGATGCCAAGTTGGGCAGTGATAGAATATGAATCATACACAGAGACAAGGGAAAGAACCATCCGTACAAAATTTCGGGGCTGCCAGAACTTGTCCCACGCACGAACCCCGCAGTTGCAACAAGCTAAGTAGCATTTAGAACTGCGAGTCTTGATGAGGAGCTGAGCATGCCTGGTTTAATGTTGACCCCGTATTAATACACCCCTTTTTATTAGTCGGGAATCCTCAGTTTTGGAGGGGAACACCCCCTAGAAATAAACTGGGGTTGACGAATATAGGGTCAACATTGGCCCAGATGCAACTCACTTCGGGAACGGGGGTAAACTCTGGGAGGTACATGAACACTGGGATGAGCATAAGGCCTCGGATTGGTACGATCGCGCCTGGCATCTGAAAGGCCGCGGACAGGGCATCGCCCCCGTCTTTGTCCAGGTCCTGACTGGCGACTGGGTGAAGTAATCCCCATCCATAATCCCGCGCGCAAGCACTTGCGGGAACACACAAGCCTTTACGAATCACCTGAATTGGAATCCACCTATTGAGAACCCCATTGGAAAGGCCCGAGCTTGTACTGCCTGCCCAAACATCTGGCCCTGTCCGTGGTGAGGTCCACCAGAAGCCCTCAAAATGGGCTTCGGCTTTGATTCGCTTGGCGAGTGGGCAGGCCCTGCAAGCATCGCCCTGCTCCATGGTATCCTGCTCGTCTCTTGAAGCTGCACATGTCAGAAGGCCCCAATGACGCTGCCGGGGGCCTCAAGCCCCACTAGAAACCCCTTCCGCATCTAACAAGAAAGACCCCTCATGGTCGGGGAGATTGACCAATGGACCCAAGGACCCAAAAGGTTTAACTCTCACCATCTCAAACGGAGCAGGACCCATCTCAATTTTTGGACCAAGGACAATTGAATGAACCTTTTAAACGGGACCAAGTCCTATGGATGCTGCCCAAAAACTTGGCTCTCGGCCTCGTGGAAGGCCTGGATGCTGCGGCATACCTGGCCATCCAAACACCGACAAGACCCAAGGAACACGAGGCCGACAGCTGAAAGGAACACTCTTCAAATGCGTGCGTATTGAAACGGGCGCCGCCCCCCTTTTGGTTGACTCATTCTTGGGAAAGAAAAACAAATGTGGTTGTGTGAGGCTCCCCAATTTGTGAGGAAACACATTTGAGGCGGAGAAAGGAGAACCGCGGCATCCGTTGGCTCCCCAGATTCTGGTTCAACGCGAGACCACCGAATGATTCGCAGCTTCGGGGAGATCCAGGGAGGTTGGCCGGAATGCGGCGTTTCCGAAATTGGGTTGATGCTGTCAATCCCCGCAGTTGGTAAGCCGCAGCTAGGTTCGTTCCGATATCGGAATTTCCCGCTGCATTTTAGCGTGGGCCCAGGCTCGGGCAGAACATGGACCCCTGCCATGCCATATTTGAGAGACAAAACTCCACTGGACAGTACAAGGAAGACCGCGAACACGCGCATCTGGACCTTTGACCCAAAACTAAGAAAATAGCAAAGCAATCGCTTTGCCTAGATTTGATGACTTCTGCCTTCAACATCGAACTCATTCGCACGCTTAAACAATCAAACAAACTCATTCGCACGCTTAAACAATCAAACAAATTCGCCGTGGCAATGTGCCCATCCCTTCTCTGTGTTTTCTTGGCGAGCCTGCAACTCAATTGGCTCAAACATACATCCGCTGCTAGAAATAAAGATCTATCAATCGCAGGCTGGATTCAATGAGCAAACACGCATCTGGGCAAATAGCGTGATTTAGTGTGGAACAAAGTCCTCTTGATCCCTTTTTGAGACACCTCTAACAAACCTTCAAGAGGAACCTGCACTTGTACGGGGAAGCATGGGGGGGCTCTCCCTACAAGAATTGTTGTTCCCAACCGGCAAAACATGGACAATTCCAACAAAACACGCACGGGATAGTCCAGCCGCCCCAAAATGGCACCTAAGAAGACATCCCTGGCCGAATCTTAATTTTGACCCTCCTCATGTGGTGTTGTTGTGCGGGGGTCCCCAAATCAATTGTGAGAAGGCAGCAAGGCAACAAGGCAACAAGGCAACCAACCAACCAACCAACCAACCAACCAACCAGCCCGCCCACCCACCACCCACCAACCTGGGTAGAGGATCATTTGGTTTTTGAAGTTCCAACATTTTTTCTCAGATACTGCGGGGCAGGAGGAAAGCAAGACAAAGTTCGGGTGGCGGCAAGAGTTGTTTTCCCTAGGTGCGGCGGGCCAGTTGTTTCCCTTGGTTTGGCAGGCGCTAGAATGACGCGTTTTACAGCAAATCGCTTGCCCAGGGTGGGTTTACGGCACTGGGTTTGTACGGGGAAGGTTTAGGGTTTGTCTAGTGCCGGGTACAACTGGGCTTGCAGGTTTAAACTGGTTTAGGATTGCTTTGGCGCTGGTTTAGTGTTTGGGGTTGGTTTGGGTTTGGGTTGGTTCAGACTTGGCTTGGGTGCTGCTGGGTGTGTTTCGGGTTCAGTTCTCTCTGTTTTTGCTTTTCGCTTTCTCTCGCTCTTTCTCTTTCATTTTTTTTTTCTCTCTCTCTCTCTCTCTCTCTCTCTCTCTCTCTTGTCAAATATCATGTTGCACTACTTGTCACTTGTGCATGCATGATGTACACTACCCGACTGCAGGCCTTGAGTCTACCAGGAAAAGAGTGCATGCTGGCTGACTACATTTGTGTTTGTGATAACTGAACAACACTTGCACTAGAAGTAAAGTATCAACGTATTTTAACGTGGTAGCGGAGCTGAGATCCTAAACATAGGGGAGCTCCAGTAACAGCAGTAAGTACTACAACTGCACAGGCAACCAACATGCCCAACTACTACGACATGTCAGGAGAACCAGCAGCAGCATCAGCACAACCAACTACAGGAGCAGACAACGGGCCCACAGCAGAAGAGACAATAGGAGCCACAACTACGGGAACAACACAGGAGCAGGAAGACGTCCAAAGGCTACACAAATACAAACTGCCACCACCGTTCTTCACTGGTGACTACTCACAGTATGAAGAGTGGCTGTTCAAACTACAAGCATATCTCGGACTTATCGACCGAGACTTCGACATGGTGCTACAACTAGCACAAGCAGCTACAAGACAAATTGAAGATGCAGACATCAGAGCACACATACGCGACCCTACACAGGCAGCAAAAGCAGTAGACCTCTCACGAGATCTACACTACATCCTCATCAACATCTGCCAAGGAGCAGCAGCTACAGTGGTTAGACAAAACCGCTACAATGCCAATGGATGTGAAACACTACGGCTTTTGCACAACAGGTTCAGCCTACCAGTAGGAACACGCAGTGTTGGCTACCTCACCAAACTACTGGAACCTACATTCAATGAAGCACAATTTGAAGAACAATTCCTACAGTGGGAATACGACATCAACCGCTACGAGAAAGACAACGGCACAGCACTACCAGATGGAGTAAAGATTGCAATACTACTCAACAAGACCAAAGGAGCACTCCAACAGCATCTCCAACTACGTGCTGGACAGATCACGAACTACAACGAGATCAGAGTTGTCATCCTGGACTACTACAAAACCATCTCTGCATTCTCAAGAGCGAGCTCAGCAGTTGGCACAAACTACAATGGTGGGACAGCACCGATGGACGTGGACAACATTTGGAGAAAAGGAAGAAACTACAAAGGCAAAGGCAAATATGGAGGCAAAGGACACTACAAAGGAAACAAAGGAAAAGGTAAGTACAGAAGCAAAGGCCACTACAAAGGATTCGACAAAGGCAGCAAAGGAAACTACAACAAAGGAGGATACAACAAGAACAAAGGAAAAGGCTACTCAGGATCCAAAGGACATGGATCAAGCAAAGGCTACAAAGGCCAAGGAAACTACAGCAAATCAAAAGGAAAAGGAAACAACAATTACACAACATGCCATCGATGTGGCAAACCAGGCCACTGGGCACAAGACTGCAGAGTGCCAGTATGGCACATAGGAGAAGGAGAAGAACTACATCCACTAGAACAAGAACAAGCAGATCACGACAACAATGAAGAACTACCTCAGGATGTGAACGACACTTGGGACTGGTACTACGAAGGAGAAGAAGGACAACACGAGGTGAACTACATGGAGGAGAACTGGAACGACTACGACTATGACAACAGCTGGGATTGGAATGACGACAGCTATGAGGACACTGCAAACTACATTGGAGGCATCAACGAGTCACACCTCACAATTGGACACATCAGACAAGCAAACTCACGACTACACAAGCACAAATCCAAATCACTACTTGGCAAGAGAACAACACACACAACATCATGGAACGACCACAGCAAGAGCTTTCAACAATTCCTACAAGAAGACAACACACAGCCACACTTTGATATAGCAGCAGCCAGACAACAACAAAGGAACAAGAAGATTGAGAACATTATCACACACTACATCATGTACTCCAACGTCAAGTCATACCACCACCTGCTGATCGACTCAGGAGCGTCTACACACGTTTGCCCGAAGGACTACGCACCAGACCTACCGCTACGACCTTGTGGAGAATCGGTTCCACAACTCTACACGGTTACCAACAAGAAGATTCCTGTCTACTGCATCAAGTACGTTCCCTACAAGCAGGACAACTTCAGGATCATGATACCCTACTACGTTTGTGATGTGAAGTACCCAATCCTCAGTGCATCAAGACTACTTGATAGAGGATATGGACTTGACTTCACTCCACGACACTGCACCATCACACATGGACAACAACAAGCACACCTCATCAGACACTCAGGACTTTTCTACCTACGAGCAGAGAAGATCGACATCCCTACAGGATTCGACATCTATCCAATGACTACAGACAGTGGAAAATCCATTGCTGTGATTCAACCTACAGAGAGAGCAGCACAACAACAAGAACAAATCGCACCACTCACACACACAGACCAAGGACTACGACAGATCCTTGGTGGAAACACTGACTACTGGAAACTTGATGGTGACTACGCCATCAGAGTACACAAACGACCACGCAAAGCACTATTCACACCACACAACAGTGGTTGCCCAATACCTGAAGAAGAACTAGATGATTGGCGACTAACCATCATCAACAGACAAGGGCAAGAGCAAGAACAACTACAAGAGAACCCAACACAACTTTCCAAGCAAGAACTACAACGAAGACTAGAAGGTGACAACTGGACTGGAGAAACCAGATTCAGAAGAAAGATAACACCTACACGCAGAGCAACATCAAAGACAACACCAACAAGGCAGAGCTCACAACCACAACGGCTAATGGACACACCACCAACCAGATCAAAGATCCAACTACGAGCACCACAAAAGATATGGAGACCTAAAGCAGCACCTTCTACAAATCTTGACACCGCACAACCAAAGGAGACAATCCACAGACCACTCACAGCACAGGAGGACAACCAAGACTACTGGGAAAGACAAGGTGAACACTGGATAAGACACCACACATCACTTAGAACAACTCTATTCACTCCAACAGATGGACCAGGACATCCACCAATCAGCACACTCGAACCTCACAGAACTACAATCACTCACAACAACTTTGGAGAAGTTTCCCAACGCAAAGATGACTGGACAGTCATGGGCAACGCAGCACTACCATTTCAATGGAAAGGAACAACAGAGTACATCCAGGAGAACCACGATGAGGAACAACAACACGAGCATCATGAAGCACACAGAGCAATAGGACTACGACAACCTCAGCAGCCCACTCCACAACAAATAGCAGAACACAACTTGACACACCTACCATACAGAAATTGGTGTCCAATTTGCGTTCAAGGCAAAGGACGCCAGGACAACTACAAGAAACAACAATCACGACAACCCATCATCCAAGTGGATTTTGCCTACATCAAATCACAACAAGATCCGAAGACCATACCAGTCTTAACGGCAGTTGATGTTACTACACAACTGTGCATGGCGG